GTAGTAGGCGAGGTAGTGATCCTTGACGTTCACGGCCCAGACGAAGCGCGTGCCGGCGTCGATGAAGGTAAGAGTGTACTGCTCCCCTCCGACTCCTTTCGCCGTGAGCCCCAGGAAGTCGCTGTAAACCTTCTCCAGCGGTTTGTATCGTTCGGCTCCAGGGATCTTTTCGGCGAAGGGTGTGTGGCGGAGCGCGGCTGCCGGGCAGACGGTGCAATTGGGTAGGTCGGTTCGTGGTTTCAGCAGTTTTCCATCGGGCAACAACAGTGCGTCTGCCGCAAACACCTTTGCGTTGATGCAGTTGTTGAGCATTTCGATTGATGGGTGTCCCATGCGTTGATGCCAGATGTCTCCGTCGGCCCGATATCCCTTAGTGCGCGTGTACAGCTCCTTCTCGCGCGCTAATATCTCCGCCGCTGTTTCTTGCCTTGTTGCGTCCGCAGGTTCATCGGGCACGGTGACTTGGACTGCCGCTGCTTGAATTGTCACCCCATGATACGTTCCGCTGGTGTCGCCGGTGGTGATAGTGTCCATCTGTCACCGGTAACTCCAATGGCTTTTCTGGACGCGAGGTTCGTGTGTGGCGATCTTCGGGTTGCGCAACTTCGTCTTCCTCGAATAGGGTATCGCCGATCGCCACTCCCCTTGTCTCGAGGCGAAGATAGTTTCTGCCGTCCGTTGTGATGGGAAGCAGGTGAGGTCCGTATTCCGTCAGTGACTCCTCCTCTTCGGCTTCTGGTGCCTCTTCAGTGATTTCCGGTTCCTCTGCTGCTTCTTCTGCAGGTGCGTCGGCGATGTTGCCCCATCCAGTTTCAGCTGCAACAGCTTCTCCGAACGCAGTGTTCTCCATGATCCAGCGTGTGTCCACGGCGTCCCACCCTTCGGTGGTGTTCCAACCGGTAGGTTGCTCGACGCGAGGCCAGATTGCTCGTGCCCATCCTCCGGCTTCAGTGTTGGCCGTGTCCGTTGTTGTAGCTGCTGTTTCTGATATGATTTCTTCGCCTTCTTCCACCGCCTGTGGTCCAGTGTCTGCAGGGTTCGTGGTCGAGGCAACGGGTACGGCAAGGGCGCGGAAGGTTCCGTCGAGGCCGGGTTGTTGATTATCGGTCTCTTCTGGGTGACTCCATCTTGGCGGCGACGGGTGACCCGGAGGGTCAAGAACAAGGATATGTTCGTTGTCGCCGGTGGTTCTGGGTGACTCGAAGTCGAGCACGAAAACGCCTTCCACACTCGTTGCCTTTCCGATGAAGATGCCGTTGTATATTAAGTGCATCTCGTCTTCTGTTGTTTGCAGGCCAACCCCGCACTTCATCAGCTGGTGAAGTGACAAGAGATTGTACCGGAGTTCCGGCACGATGAGGACGTCGCTTATGTGGATGCAGTAGCCGGTGTCGTGAGACTCCAGTTGCACTTGTCCGCGGCTTCTGGCGTAGATGGTATGGCTGTTGGCGACGGTGATCTCCACTTCGTTAAAGAGTCGCTCTCTGTTGAGGATGAAGACATCTGAGGACACCATGTGCTGACCACAGCAGCTGTCCAGGTACCACGTGTTGACTTCTTTTCTTGCCTTGCCCAGATTGGCAAGCTTCGGAGTGATGTGATGTTCCATGTCGTGATCATTTTCGTAGTCGTAGTAACATTCTTCGTTGTCGTCTACGATGCGTGCAGGTGGCGACTCCTGAATCCACTCCGGCGCTTCCCAGTCAAACTGCATCTGTCCGACCGTCAACTCGTCGTAGGTTGGATCATTCTCCTCTTCTTCTTCGACTGATCCTTCGGGCCGCTCCTGAGGCGGGTCTGCGAACATGTCTTCCCAGCTGCGGAAGAAGCGGTAGTGACGGTTGGGGCGAGGCGGTCCACGACGCACCATGCAAGTCAAGACCTTGCTTTTGCCCTTGTCGCTTGTGTTCGCAGAGAGACACGCCGGAGCTTGGGACGTGCTGGCGACGGCTGGCGGTGACACAGTTTGGTTGCGCGCTGCGGCTCCTCCTTGCTGGTGAGCAGCGGCACCCTTCTGGTTGTTGTTGTTGCCGTTCAGCTTCCAGCAGTCTTGAATCATGTGCCCAGTCTTCTTGCAGTACTTGCAGAAGAGTCTTTTCTTGTCCGGTGGCGCTTGAGCGTAAAAGGCGATCTTCTCCTTCTTGTTGCCTCGTTCGTTGTACAGGTCGATTTCCTTCTGCTCGGAGAGAAGCGTGGAGCAGAGGGCAGTTTCGCTGAGGGTTCCTTGCGTGCGAAGGAGTGACTTGCATTGGCGCCATTCCGGGCTCAATCCAGCGAGGATGATAGTGACGAACATATCGTCAGGGAAGTTTCCCCCGCTTTTCCTGAATTGATCTCTCAGGTTCCTGCAGCGGTTGATGTATGGGCCGGCCTTCTCGCCGGGAAACATCTTGACGTTGTTCAGCTGGTTGAGCAGGCGACTAAGTGTCACCGAGTCTGTTGCCATGTGGCAGGTGCGCAGGTGTTCCCAGGACTATTGCGCGGGCGCCCATTCGTTCTTGAAGGGGCGAATGCTCAGCTGTTCTTCAGGCGACAGATTTCGTATCAGGACGGTGAAGGCCAGGAGTGATTCGTTGTAGTACTGGCTTTTCTCCTGAGGTGAGCCATTGGTCGGAAATGCGTACGACCCGTCGTAATACATCCAGATCTGAGCGCCTTGAGCTAGTAGCTCAAATTCGAAACTCCACGTGTAGAAATCTTGTCCGTCGAAGGGCTTGGTAGTTCTGAGCTTCGACGTGGAGAGGAACTTGCTCTGCATTGAAGCCATTGCCTCGTAATGTGTTTGTTGTGCTTGAGCAGATCCTTGAACTCCGCGGTTGTCGAAGGTGAAGGATCGCTCAGATCCAGCTCCTTGAGGATCGGGAGGTCTTCGGGCGTAACTTGAGCCGTCAATGCTCATTGGCTGATGGCTCTCCAGTGCGCTGATGCGGGAAATCAGTTGCTCGAGTATAGCTGTGTCCACAGTCGTCGTAGTAGAGGCGACATTGGTGGAGGGTTGCACTGGATTTTCTCCAGTCTCTCCGCAGTCTGCGCCTGGCATGTTGATGCCCTTTGTTGATGTTGAGATTAATTTGTAAAGAAGCTTTGTCGGAAGCCCTTTTAGCAGATCCTATAATCCAAACTAGCTCTCATACCATGTTAGAGTAAGGATCTTTGGATAGGATAGGAAGTGCCTTGGTAGAGTTGGTAGCGGAAGTCTTGTAAGAACTCAGATCATTGTGAAGGTAAATGACCAAGTTGATTAAAAGATAGAATACAAGGAATATAAATAGTCCTAGTCTAGCCATGTACTCTAAGGGGTACATTCCCTTATTATAACTGTTTTACAGGCATTTCTACAATGACTCTGACTGTTGTACTGCCTTTCTTGTTACCGAGTCGCTGCATGTAACCTGTACGGTTACGCCTGTTGCCATTCCTCGATGGTAGGTCAAGCGTCGGTCCAGATGGTCAACAGTCGCGACAGTTGACTCTTGCGACTGTTGACCTTCCTGCCCTTGTTACGGGCTGATCCGATATTGCGGTAGTTGCTGCTTCGACAGAGTCAGGTGCGATACTGCTGCACCTACGGGAATGCTAAGTATAATTCCCTTCACACTCCAACATGGTGCAGGTTCGGGGTTGGAAAACCCGAAGGCGAAGCGATGGTGGTTCGGAGGGCGAGGTCATCGGACCGAGCCTGAACTCTGAAAGCTGGAGTCTGTACGCGTACAGTGCGACTCAGTAAGGAATTAGGGGAAATTCCTTACATAACGCCTATAGTGGAAAACACTAGCCTGACACTTGGGGTTCTAATCGGCAAACCTGGAGGTTCTAACGAGTATAGCCAGGCTTACCACTGAAACATCGATTATCTGCTCGTTTCCTTTCGCGAGGTCTGCTGCTGATCCTTACGCTCCATTACCTCTTTCTCGCGCCACTACCACCTCCTTTCGCGTTCACACTTAGGTGCCAGATTGCACATGGACGGGCTGGTCTAAGTTTCACAAAATACCACAGGAGAGACTTTGAGCCGTTCTTCCAGCCGCTGTCTTTAGCTGTCATTAGGGTTTCCCATCTAACAGCGTGGTCTCTACAACCCACAGATCAGCATGAGTAGATCAGGCCAGGCCCCCGATTTGAAAAAGTAAGCTGCTCTTGCGGTTTCTTTCATTTACCTTTTCTCTTGACGCCGAGTCGCTTCCATTTCTAAATCCCCCACACGTAGCACCCTGATCGCACTCGTCTTTTGTTACCACTGGCTTTTCGTAAAAAAAAATCGGTCATCTGACCGCCTTTTTTAGGGTGCAGCGAATGCCAGAATCCTGAAGTACGAATAAAAAGTACTCCCGTTTTTTGTATTTGTAACCCTAATTCCCCACTATTTCCACCCGAAACTTGCGTTGCCTACCATCCTCATGTAGTCGTAGTTAGCACAATTTTCAATCGCGGACTTTTAAGGACTTGTTCACATTCGCGTTTTCCCCACCTCTCCCCGTTCTTTCAACATGTCACTACTTTCCCTCTCCCACGCCTCCTCCTCCCCTCCCTGTCGTCCCCCAACCTCCCTTTCCCTTCTCTCGCCTCCCCTCCCCCACCCTCCCTGCTTGTCCCTCCCCACTACTAACCGGCTCGACGCAGGTACATGGACAAGAAGTTAAACAGTGAGTGCCGTTCCACTCTCGCTGCGCTCTTGCTTCACAGATTGATTTTCCATTTTCTAGAGCAGAGGAGCACTGCGTTTCTGCTTCAATGCAATGCACTTCTCATTGGCTCTCCACGCGTTTGCACAGTGACACTCCTAGCTTAATCACATACTCATGAAGCTGCTCCCGCACTCACACACTGGGTTTCCACCCGCACTCCCACGCACTCATCTCCCCAGTCGTGCGGTCATTCTCATGTGGTCATTCTTGTGCGGTCACTCTTTCACGCCGCTCACTTAGTGGCCACAGAGAGCGCTTATCACTCCCTCCGCTGCTCTCCTTGCTCTCCTCTTACAATCATGCAACACCGTTCCTATGCTTCTCCTGGCGCTTCCTCCTACTTCGTACCTCCTTTTCATCTACAATTGCAGCATCCCATTATTGCTGTTCAGGGGTACTGCACACTCTCCCCCAAAACCACCACCCGTTCTCCTGCTTTCCTCCAACCCCTCCACTCTCCTCACTTTCCCTCCTCTCCTCCCTCTTCCTTTCCCCTCTCTCCCTTCCCCCCTTTCCCTGCGTGCAGTAAAGCTGAACGCGAATCGCACGGTGGTGGGGGTGCTGCGGGGCTTCGACCAGTTTATGAACCTCGTGCTCGACAACACTGTTGAGATGAGCGGTGACGACAGGACCGACATTGGCATGGTGGTCAGTGCCCTTCTCTGCTTGTGTCCTCTTGTCTTGTCTTGTGCCTGCTGCTCTAAGTTGACCCAAAACACACCTCGTACTCGACAACACTGTGGAGATGAGCGGACCGACATCGGCATGGTGGTCAGTGCCCTTGCCTCTTTGTCCTCCCTGCCTTTTGAGTTTCCTCAAAAGTCACCTTGCCTTCGACCAGTTGATGAACATCATGCTCGACAACACTGTGGAGATGAGCGGTGACGACCAGACCGACATTGGCATGGTGGTCAGTGCCCTTTCCTTGTGCCTATCCCTGTCTCTCTCTTCCGCTCTCCCTCGCTGCCTGCCTCCCGCGCTGCGCTCCCGACAGGACCGTCATCGGCATGGTGGTCAGTGCCCTTGGCTTTCACCCCCATGCCTCCCTGCTGTGTCTCCCTCCTCATTCTTGTTTCGTCTTGTCTTGACTTGTCTTTCTTTGTCTTGCTGTGTCTTGTCTTGTTTATCCTCATTTCTAGTTCCTTTTTTTTTCTCAATTCACTCATCCCTCCCTCCTTTCCTTCATTTCACCCTGTTCACCTCCCTCCCTCCCTCTCCCCCTCCTCCCTCCCTCCTTCGTTCTCTCCCTCCCCTGCCACCATCTACCTCGCTCTCACGCCTCTGACCCTCTTTTCCCTCTTTTCTCCCCTCTCTCCCCCTATCTCTGAACACGTTTCCTCACCAACTCCCATCCCATGCTCTTTTTTTTTTTGCTGAAACCTCCTTTTCTTTCCTCTTCTTTCCCTTCCCTCCTCCCCTCTCCCACCTATCGTTTCTCCCCCTTCACGCCTTGTTTCTTCACCAACTACCATCTCATGCTCCTTCTTTTGTTCCAAAGCCTTTCCATCTCAGTGCCCCTCCCCTCTTTCCTCTCTCCCCCCCCTATGCTCTCCATACTCCTCTCTCCCCCATCAACTGCTGCTGTGCCTTCCTTGCGCTCCATTGACTCTGCTCGTATTCGAAAATTCCCTGTCCGCTCTCTGCTTGCTCTCTTGGCTCTGCTGTGCTTTCTGACTTGTTCTTGTGTAGCTTCCCCTAGAGCCAGAAAGATCTGTTCTGAGTTGGTGTTCCTTGCTCGGGCTGCCTTACCCCCCTGGACTCACAATCCGTTTCTCTGCTTTCTTTCTGCAGGTTATTCGTGGAAATAGTGTTATCATGATTGAAGCTTTAGAGAGTGTAAGGTAGTGATAGTTTTGGTGTGGCCATTTTTAGCCACACCACACCTTTCAATGTATTGTACTGTAAGTGTTGTCTTGCTGCAATACTGACTTACTACCACTAATGCCTATCCTTGTTGCCAGGATGCTGTAAGCTTGCATCCCGTTGCTGATACCGTATTGATCACCTTCACTATGTGGGAGAGTCGTGTGATCGAGTGATGAATTTTGAAAACATACTAGGATTCCGCTATTTCATCTCGTACACCCAACCAAGCATTCTGAAGACCAGAATACCGGTATGTCTGACTTCATCCACTGAAGAGGTCCCCTGCCATCTCATCCACTCATTGTAAAGCTACTACATGCTCACAGAAGGAGGTCTGTTAGCTAGGAGCACCATAAGAACAACCAGCAGTTCCTTACATGTCACAGTTGTTTTTCTGCTTTGTTTAGGGGTTAAAATAACAATATACATTTCTTTTACTTACCAGCCACTCCTAACCGATAATAATATCACAAGCAGCCCCTTCGCATCGCGTCGCGTCCAGTCTGACAGGAAGCATCTCCCGCCAAACAGTACCGTTTGAGCTCTACATTTGTTTTTCAGCTGCTAGTTTTCCGTGCACTCACAATTTCCATGGTTCTACCTATGCGTCAGGATTTCGCGGCATCTCTAGACCTGTTTCGCTCTATGACCAGGGACTTCAAGAGTCAACCAAAAGAAACTCAACACCAGCCAGCAACCCTTTCGCATCTTGGCGGTGAAGGGATTTTTTGCAAAAAAAAAACACATATTGCTCATCCACATTGCTTTTTCACATTCCGTCTCGGGCAAGCCCCAAAAGGCAGGTCACAGTTTTGAGCGCTAAGGGTGTGTTTCTATCCCGTGTCAGACTTCAGGTCAAAGCTTCGGAAGACACAAAGTGACTCGGTTTGTGTCTTCCGAACCTAAATTTGCCAGCATTCCGAATACCTTTGGGTCTTCTCAACCTCAACTTCGTGACAGGCTTCGTGTCTGAAGTACTCCCACGCGGTCCGCAATGTCAAAAATCACATTTGAATGTTCGCCACACGGTCCGGGGTCTGGACACGTTCATCTCAACCGACCAGTGGATGTGCGACCAGTTTGCACGTCAAGTGTTTTGCTGTGCGATCGTTCCACTATCCAAGACTCTCGAGACAGCTCAGCTGTCAAGAGTGTAATGCGTTCACTTCCGACTCCTCCACACTGATGCGGAAATGTCGCCGTGATGGTGAGAACGAAGAATTGGTGAGAGGCGAGAGCGATTTTATAGGCAGTGAAACAAGCAATTCGACGTCACGCGACCGCCATGGCATCGTCGCTCGCAGCTACTGGCGATCCGGCTGGCGAACTGAGAGGGACGAGCGAGCGACGAGAGAGGAAGAGGCGGAGGGAAGATAGCCGTCAGGTCGACGCTGGCTCCGAAGGCAAGGACGCATATTCATAACACAGCTTATCGCGACGCAATCCCCTGAGTTTTACCTCCGTCGCTTCGCATTTTGGCTCGATAAACAAAGCAGCCAGAAATCACGTCTTCTTAGGGAATTCTCCACCGTTCCGCACACGCACAATTAGTCTAACTGGCTGTTTTCGTCCCTCCCCTCCACTTGTGCTATATTATCTCCTATCCACCTTCACTTCACATCTCAGGAGCGGATTCTCTAGTCGAGATAGAAGCTCTCTCCCACCCACCATTTCTAAAATCTGAAGCAGATTCCGCTCCGTCTCAAACTCAACGCACCTCGTATTATGTTACCTCCCGCTCTCCCTCTCCCTCTCTTTCGCCTACCCTCTCCCTCTCCTTCTCTCCCTCCCTCCCGCTCGTCTTCAGACCAGGGCAGCGATGTGATCGACGCGCTTCCAGCGGCGCTCTGGCACCGCATCTTCCACCTGCTGCTGCACCGCCCCTGCAGCGCCACCCCTCCGCACTCCGCGGGAGGTCGCTACTACTGCCGCGCGCTAAGCGTCGCGCAGCGCGCAGAGGCGAATGCCTCCAAGGCGAATGCCACTGCCAGCGATGCTGATGCTGGTGATGGTGGCGCTGGTGCTGGCGCTGGTGATGGTGGCGCCGGTGCTGGCGCTGGTGATGGTGGCGCTGGTGGTGGTGGTGGTGCTGGCATCAACGACCCACGGAGCGCTGGTGCTGGTGCTTGTGCCAGCAGCAACGGCAAGAGCAAGAGTAACGGCAAGGGCAACGACGAGGGCACGGGCAGTGCAGGGGAGAGCGACGAGGAGGAGGAGGAGAAGGCAAGGGAGAAAGTGGTGTTCATGAACGCCGGGGTGTCGCCGTGCTGGCTGCATGCACACAATGCTCGCACGTTTGGCTCCTCGTGGCCTCTGCTGTGCTGCGCGCTCGCCAGCAAGAGGCTTCTCCTCCTCGTCGCCTCCTTCTCTGTGAGAACCATGCTCGCTCCCCACTTCCTCTCCCCGTCAGTGCCGCCCCTCCAGACCCTCTCCTCGGCACTGTTTCTCCTGTCCACACCCTCTCCTCCTCACTGTCGCGACTATCTCCGTGACTGAATTCCATATTGTCTTCTCGTTCACTTCATTGCATTCTCAGCCATAATTTCTTTCTTTTGTGTCTCTTCTGTCCCTAACTGTCATGTGTAGTAGCTTCGCAATCGCTTCCTCTCTCCCTCTCCCTCTCTCTCCTCTCCCCCTCTCACTCTCCCCCTCACTACACCTACTGCTGGACTCGCAGCTGATAACCTCCACTTCCACCTGCTGGCTCTCACACCCTTCTACCCTCTTTTTCCTCTCCCTCCATCTTTCTCCTCACTCCCCCCCCCCCCTCCCTCCCTCCCTCCCTCTCTCCCTCCTTCCTTCTCTTCCTCTCTCCCTCCCGCCCTTTCTTTCCCTCCCTCCCTCTATCTCTCTCTTTCTTCTCCCCCCCGCGCCCGCCACCAGGAACAAGGCACGCCCATGTGTCTACACCTCACTCCCTCCAACCCCCAATGGAACAACAGCGTGCGATGGCTGCTCTCCCACGCTCCTGCCCTTCCTTCCCTCCGCCTCTCCTTCTCCCACCCCTCCCTCATCCCCCTCATCCGCCGCCCCTTCACTCTCCCCTCCTCCCCCGCCCCCTCCTCCATCTCATCCCTGCACCTTACTCTGAGCATCAGAGAATCCTTCCCAAAGGAGGATTACCATCAGAGCAACTGGAATCTGGCATTTCTCACGGCCTGCTCCTCCCTGCGTTCCCTCACACTCGGACGTGGCGCCTGGCGCTTAGGTAAAAGCTGCCTCACTGCTCCCTGGATGCAGTCCCTTCGGAGCCTAACCCTAGAGCACATGGACCCCCGGGGGAACTCTCTTAAAGCCCTGGCCGCCATTTCGCCTCAGCTCCACGAATTCACGTTCTGCGAGCCACACAAGGTGGAGGAGGGGGCGGGGCGGGGAGCATTCACAGGACCGGTGCTGCTGGCGCTCGAGTTCCCCAGGGCTCGCCGCCTCTCCTTCCGCTTCCTCAGCCACGAGCTCAAGCTGAAGCTCTCCCTTTCTCACGACTCCCTCACCTCCTTCTCAGCCTCTGCTCTCTCCCTCACTCTCGCCTGCCGCTCTGCCCGACCCCTCACCTTGACCCAGCTCTTGCTGTTTGGGGAAGAGCGGATCCATATTGCCTCGTTCGACGTCGCATCTGTCCGTGCTCTATACCTCAACGCCCCGATCAATCTGCTGCCGCCGCGCCCCATTCCCATCCCTGCTGACGTTCGAGAAGCCATGGAGGTGTGTGGTGGAGACTCGTTTGTGTATATTCCGCCGCCGCAGCCCTTTGCATGGGCGGACTGGCTGCGTGCACTCGCGCCAACAGTGGAGCTGCTCATAACGAGGCATGACATCGACCTTGCGGACTGTAAATTTCCCTGGCCGCGGCTACGGAGCCTCGGGATTGTCGTGGAGAGCGATTACATTGCATGGAAGCAACCTTGTGGGGAGATGGCGGTGGAAGATGCGGGGAAAGCAGAAGGAAACGAGTACGTACAGTTTTGGAGAGGCCAGCGGAGGGAGCGGAGGGAGAAGGGGAGGGAGAGGGAGCGCAAGATGTTGAATCGAGGGCTCACTCGCTTCCATGCAGGCCCGTTTGGCAACCAGCTTGCTGGTGTTGGCGCTGACCATGATGATGCTGATGCTGATGATGTTGGTGATGACGGGTACTATGTTGCCGCACGCAGACCTGCTTCCTCTCGTCCGTGCATCCCTCCAAGCATCAGCGCTCCGAACCTGCGAGCCATCTTCTTCCCGACCCGCGGCGACACACCAACAGCCCTGCTGGGAGTTCTCAAGGCGAGGTTTCCCTCGCTGGCGCTGTACTGTGTTGCGAGGCACACGTGGTACTGGGAGAGGAAAGGGATGAGGGTGGAGCGTGCGCCGGTGGCGCATGTGAGGGGGCCAAGAGGAGGGAAGAGCAGTGCGTCGTTTAGGAATGGGCGGAAGACGGTGCGCGACAAGATGCACAGTGTGAATCGGGGGCTGATGGAGGGGTACACGCTGGATGAGGAGGAGTGGTTCATGGTTGAGAGACGCTTTTGGTTGCCGGTGGTTGGAGAGGAGGAGGAGCAGAAGAGAGATGGTGATGATGATAGCGATGATGGCGATGAGTTTGATGATGAGGATGATGACGAGGAGAAGGATAAGGATGAGGATGAGGATGAGGATGAGGATGAGGATGAGGATGAGGATGACGATGAGGATGAGGATGAGGATGAGGATGAGGATGGGGATGAGAATGATGATGAGGACGAGTAGGGAAGGGATATGACTGTCATTGGAAGGAACTGAGGCAGTGGAGCACAATGCACATGTGAAGTAGAGGTTGGTTGATGGAGGAAAGGGTATGGGGTTGGACGTGATACACTGTATTTCTGTTTAGCATTTATTGCATGGTGTTGCGTGACCTGACCCCTAGTGCAGATGAAAGGAAACAATGTAGTAGTTTACGAGTCCAAAATTGGCACATTGTCATGCTGTACACGTCTCTATGCCCAAAGCATGCTTGTGCCCACTTTGTGGAGGATGCCGACCCACTACAGGCCATTCACAAACATACACTAGAACGTTGCATACAACAGATTATGGATGTCAGATTGTGGTATTGTTTAGCCTCCTCGAAGCTAAAAATACGCATCCAAAGATAGAAGTGGAGGCTTTGGGGTTCTTTTATATGAAGTAGTGTTACTACTACTTTGAATTGAAGTGATTGTAATAGGAGAGTGCACTAAAAGTAGATAACGAAGTATAGGAGCACAACAATTTCTTGCATGTATCTTTAGTTGTTGATTCCATACAAACCTCTCTATACATTCAGCCCCTTCGCGTCGCGTCACGTCCACTCTCACAGGAAGCATCTCCCGCCAGGCACAACCGTTTGATCTGAGCTCCACTTTTTTCTTCCCTTCTAGGAGCTCTCATCGTCATTTTCATGGTTTACGTACGCTTCGAGATGATATCAGACCAAGGACCACCCGAGTCAGAGAAACGTGAGTCAAGTCCGCGCCCAAGTCACCCAATCTAAAGAAACTCAAGCCAACTGACCTTTCTCATTTCGGCGCCGAAAGGGTAATCTCGCTCTGAAAAATCACAAATTGCTCATCCACAGCGATTCCAACCACGCTTTGAGCCCAAGTCAGCCCCGAAGCTCACTCACTACTATTCCAATTCTCCCTGCAGCACATTCCATACCTATGCATGGGCAGTAATGACTACCTCGACACTAGATGTCGCCTTGATGATGCAAACGATGAACCGATGAGAGGCGAAAGCGATTCAATAAGCCAGTGAAACGAGTCATTCGACGTTACGCGATCGCCATGGCATCGTCGCCGGGGGCTGCTGGCGATCCCATTGGCGAACTGAGAGACACGAGCGAGCGACGCGTTCAGAGGAGGCGAACGAACGATAGACGTCAGGACGACGCTGACCCCGAAGGCAAGGACCTACACTCCTAGCGGAGCTTGATCAACGCGACGCAAACCTTTGATTGTTACCTCCCGTGCATTCGCGCTCCCAGCTCATAAAACAGGGCATCCATACTTCATGTCCGACATGTGCAGTAAACCATCCACCGTCAACGTAGCAACTAGAACTTGCAGTTTTTGTCACTCCCTTCGACCTTCATTCCTCATCTTGGACGCCAAGTTTTTACCATCATTCCTCGTCGTTAAGGCAACTTCCGCTCGCTCTCAGCATCGGAACATACCTCTGATTTCATCCCCGTCCCTACACTCCGTTCTTATCTCCGCATGTATACTTTCTATTTTCCCTCTCCCTCTCTCTCTTCTTCTCCCTCACCTCTCTTTCTCGCTCCCCCTCCTTCTCCCTCTATCCCTCTCCTCTCCCTCTCTCTCCCCCTCTTTTTTCCTCGCCCTTTCCTTTTCCCTCGCCCTCTTGCTTTCGCCTACTTTCGCGCAATTTCCCCTCCTTCTCCCTCTATCCCTCTCCTCTCCCTCTCTCTCCCCCTCTCCCTCCATCTCCCTCTCTTTCTTCCTCGCCCTCTCCTTTTCCCTCGCCCTCTTGCTTTCGCCTACTTACAGACCAGGGCAGCGACGTGATTGACGCGCTTCCAGCGAAACTCTGGCACCACATCTTCCGCCTGCTGCTGGAGCGTCCCTGCAGCGCCTCCCCTCCGCACTCCGCGGGCGGCCGCTACTACTGCCGCGCGCGCAGCACGGCGCAGCGAGCAGAGGTCAATCCCAGAGGCACCGCCGGCGGCGCCGCTGGTGGTGCTGACAGCAACGCCCCACGGGGCGCTGAGAATCGTGCGGCTGTGCCCGTGTTCGTGAATCCCAGAGTCTCGGCGTGCTGGCTGCATGCGCGCAACGCTCGCACGTACGGCTCCTCGTGGCCTCTGCTGTGCTGCGCGATCGCCAGCAAGAGACTGCTCCTCCACGTTGTCTCCTTCTCCGTGAGTGCTCCACTCGCTCTCCTTACGACTGCTGCCCATTCACACCCTCTCTTCGCGACTGCTTCCCCTCCACACCCTCTCCTTCACCGTGTTGGATTTTTTCCCAGGAGCTATCGTCTTGTCTTCTTCCCATTCACTTCTTTTCATTCTCAGTCGTAGGTCAGTTGCTTGTCTCTCTGTCCCTCACTGCCATGCGTGGTAGCGTCGCACTCTTTTCCTCTCTCTCGCTTCTGCTCGTGCTGGAATCGCTCATGATTAGCTTCACTTCCAACTACTCTCAGACCACCATGCCCTCTATATTTCCTCCCTCCCTCCCTCCCTCCCACCCTCCCTGTCTCCCTCCCTCCCTTTCTCCCTCCCTCCCTTTCTCGCTCCCTCCCTCACTCCCTCCCTCCCTCCCTCCCTCCCTCCCTCCCTCCCTCCCTCCCTCCCTCTCTCCCTCCCTCCCTTTCTTCCTCCCTCCCTCCCTCCCTCCCTCCCTGTCTCCCTTTCTCCCTCCCTCCCTCCCTCCCCTCCACTCCCCCACCAGGCACAAGGCGCGCCCATGAGTTTGCACCTCACAGCCGCCCAGCCCCAGTGGACCACCAGCGTGCGCTGGCTGCTCTCCCGCTCTCCCGCCCCCCCTTCCCTCCGCCTCTCCTTCTCCCACCCCTCCCTCATCCCCCTCATCCGCCGCTCCTTCACCCTCTCTTCTTCTCCCGCCGCCTCCTCCCTCTCATCCCTGCAACTAAGCTTGGGTGTCAGAGAGAAATTCACAGAGGAGGATTACAGCCAGAGCGACTGGAATCTAGGCTTTCTCAAACCTGCTCCTCCCTGCGTTCCCTCACACTCGCACGTGGCGCCTGGCGCTTAGGTAAAAGCTGCCTAACCGCTCCCTGGATGCAATCAATTCGGAGCTTAACCCTAAAAAATGTGGACCCCAGGGGAATCTCTCTTAAAGCCCTGGCTGCCATTTCCCCTCAGCTGCACGAGTTTTCGTTCTGCGAGCCGTGGAAGCTGGAGGAGGAGGGAGGGGAGGACTGCAAAGGACCGGTGCTGCTGGCGCTCGAGTTCCCCAGGGCTCGCCGCCTCTCCTTCCGCTTCCTCAGCCACGAGCTCAAGCTGAAACTCGCCCTTTCTCACGACTCCCTCACCTCCTTCTCCGCCTGTGCCCAGTCCCTCACTCTCGCCTGCCGCTCTGCCCGCCCTCTCACGTTGACCCAGCTTTTGCTGTTTGGGGAAGAAAGGATCCATATTGCTTCCTTCAAGGTTGCCTCTGTCCGTGCGCTTTACCTCAACGCCCCGATTAATCTGCTTCCGCCACGGCCCACTAACATCCCTGCTGACGTTCGGAAAGCCATGGAGATCTGTGGTGACTCCTTTATGTATCTTCCGCCGCTGCAGCCTTTTGCATGGGCAGACTGGCTGCAAGTATTCGCGCCAACGGTAGAGCTGCTTATAGTGAGGCATGACATTGACCTCGAAGCCTGCAGGTTCCCCTGGCCACGGCTGCAGAGCCTTGGGATTGTCGTGGCGAGCGACTACGATGTGATGAACCCGGTGTGTGGGGAGATGACAGTGGAAGATGTGGAGAGAGCAGATGGGAATGAGATCATTGAGTGGACGAGAGCACAGAGGAGGAAGGAGAAGGGGGAGTGGAGGGAGACGGAGCTCAGGATGAGGAGCCGAAGGCTGACTCGCTTCCATGCGGGCCCGTTTGGGAACCAGCTTGTTGGTGTTGGACCCGACGACTACGATAATGCTGATGCTGATTACGATGACGACTACGATAACGTTGATGGCTACAGTGATGGTGACGATTGTGACAGTGCCGACGAAGTCTATGGTACCGATGAGGAGTCGTCAGATGAGGAGTGTGCAGATGAGGAAAGGTCAGAATCTTCTGGTGGTTCACTGGAGCGTACGACACCTTCACGCAGGCCCGCTGCGAACCACCAGTACATCCCTCCAAGCATCAACGCTCCGAATCTGCTAGCCATCTTCTTCCCAACCCGCCGCAACACACCAGCAGCCCTGCTAGGAGATCTCAAGGCGAGGTATCCTTCCCTGGCGCTGTACTGTGTTGCGAGGCAGACGTGGTACTGGGAGAGGAAAGGGGTGAGGGTGGAGGGTGGGCCGGTGGCGCACGTGAGGGGGCTCAGAGGAGGGAAGAGCAGTGCGTCATTTAGGAATGGGCGGAAGAGCGTGCGGGACAAGATGCACAGTGTGAATCGAGGGCTGATAGAGGGGTACACGTTGGATGAGGAGGAGTGGTTCATGGTGGAAAGACGGAATTGGAAGCCGGTGGTTGGTGAAGAGGGGAGGGTGAGGGATCGTAATGATAGGGATGGTGATGAGTTTGATGACGATTACGATGCGGATTAGGATGAGTAAGGACGGGGAGTAGATGTGAGAGTGCATTTCTGGCACATGGTTTTAATCTTTCTGGCAGGCCAAATGGATTATACACAAGGCATGCTTTATGTACTCCACAAAGTAGTAATGCAAAATGCACATCCCTACAACGGGTTGGCAGATTTCATTCATTTAGCTTGTCCGAGTAAGGTCAATAAGTGTCAGGGGTCCAGGGAATCTTTGTTCGAAGAACATAATGAGTAGTTCATTAACAAAACATTGATCGGTAGAACAAATGCTTGTGGTTTAAGTAGTAAATGCTTAAACATTTTTTGAGGAAGTTCAAACTGGAAAGTAGCATAGGTTTCCTCACCGCTTTAGACCACTGCACATCCGACCGCATCCTGCAAAGTCAACAGTGTTTGAAAACGAGAAACCCGATTGCGCAGGAATGTTGCAGTGGAGGCGGTCACACACCAGTTTGCTCGCAGTTCGTGTACCTGCAGGCTGTGCAGAATGCACACCAGCACCACCACTTCCACTGAACATAAGGATAACACTCGACTTCATAGGAATATTCACCCCTCTGGCTGTTGGCTGTGCTTGCACGAAGTTACCAGTGACTCGTCAAGACGCGTTAGTTTGAGTGGATGTTAGTGCTCGTCGAATTAATGTTCCTCTTGACCCCCTTTCTCTCGAGATATTCCTCGCAGTAATACCCTTTTCTCAAGGACTTCGTGTGTGACAGTCTTCGACTTTGAATAGATATTGAGTAGTTATTGACCACTGGTGTCCGGCTTCGAGACATGTCGCGCCTCCATCGACAGGCAATATCTTACAGGAGGACCAGTTAGTATGCGTCAACATGCAAGCGTCCTGTTACTTATCATTTTCCTCCACGTGAGTTGATGGTTCGTGGTCGTCCTTTGAAGATAATGACCTTTTTCATTCTCTTAACCGTTTAAGGTTTCAGGTCATATCTTTGCGTGGAGAAATGGCCGGAACACAATGGTCAGAGTCAATTCGTGATTTGGTGCAGTGTGCAGACGGATTTGGAGGCAACGTCACCGGGGGGCATTTTGGACCCTTTTTTTGGGTCACGACTCTTTCGGATTCTGGGCCTGGTAGTCTGAGGTAAGTATTAAACAACCAATAGCTTTCTTGTGTCATATAATTCGGATCTTGATCTTTGCCACTTGCCATGATAAAGGGAGGGAGCAACAATTCACGGCTCTCGCTGGATACTGTTCAACATTTCTGGTACAATTTGCCTCTCTAGCCCAATTGGTGTTGCCTCAAATAAGACAATAGACGGCCGTGGTCAACGAGTCGTCATCTCGTGCAATGGCCTTCATATCAGGTCCGAAACCTTTTTTAGCTTATTTAAATTGGAAAACACTCGCCATTCTGTAACACTTTCCTGGTCGTTTTTGAGTAGACATGCTGCTCAGAACATCATCATCAATAACCTTATTTTCTGGAGAGGTGGAGAGGATGCCATTCAGCTGAAGTACGGGGCACAGCGAGTTTGGATCAACCATGTGAGCATTGGAAGATGGGGAGATGGTGCGATCGATGTGACACGTGGCTCCACAGATGTCACAATATCACGAAGCCTCTTTCACCACCACAACAAAGTTATGCTTGTTGGCTCACAGGTAAATGTTTGTTATATTGCTGCTTGCAAGCATGACTCTTTCGTGACTTTTGTGTTGCATGCTTGGCAGACAGATGCTGAAGAATCCAAAGACCACCCTGTGAATCTTCATGTCAGCATTCATACTAATTGGTTCGCTGGGACCGTTCAGCGCCATCCTCGAGTTGTTGCAGGATTGGTTCACGTTTATAATAATGTCTTCCAGCATTGGGGACTGTATGGAGTTGGTAGTACCTGCCATGCTCAGGTGACTGCTTCTGTACTCTTTTGCATACATACAGTGCTCGTCCTTCGCTTGGCTAACATATCTTTTGTGCAGATAGCCATGGAGAGAAACATTTTCCTCGCAGGCAGGTCATTTTCGGGTGCTCGAATTTTTGATCGTCTGGATTGGCCCAGTAATTTCGGAAGAACCCGGTCTGTTCGAGATTTACTTATTGATGCAGCACATCTTCACGAGTACGATCCAGATCACGTGTTCAACCCCCGAGTATGTATTGGTATGCGCTGTTTGTGCATCCATTGGTTTCCACACCATGGCTTATGCCTGTTTCTTTGATCAGGACTTCTACAACTATACTGCAGCTGAAGCTACTCTGGATTTGATGGTTGATGTAGCCGGTAATGCTGGTTGGCATGATGTACGTCTTTCATCTGAGACCGGCAAAAGATGTTAACGTTGATGGGGGTGAACATGCTGGATGTGCAACAGCATACCTTGTCACCAAGGCCAAATATGCATGGATAGGATTGGGTGGAAGAGCACTCACCAGTTGGGGTCTGCAATACCGGTACATGCTGGTGCACAATGTGAAAGAGCATTACAGTAGTTAAATTACCTACAGCAGAGCACACCACTGAGGAAACATCACTTGTGGAGCCTAGATACACAAAAAACTTACATGTCCTAGCCACCAACCATGGTGGATGCTATTTCTATGATTGGCTGCACAGCCCCTAAAGAACTACAAATAAGCAACATGCATGCTAAGCATGTCGAGTGTCAGGGAGGTATACATAGATAAGCAGGAAAGCTACTGATTGCACTGTGGCAGAATCTTCTGGCATAAAGAAATGCCGAACAAGGCACAGTTAGTGCCATGTACGTAAGAAGATGCAGAGTAGCATGCTGCTGACACTGACGGCGTATCATGCTTGGGCACAAAGCAGTTGGTGATCAGCGCATCCGAACATGCTGGTTCGGAAGAATGAGGTCAGGATTTCGAATGTGCGGGTTCAGCTTCACCACATCCTTCCACTTAGTGCCGCTGCCATGCACCTTCTGTGACAAGCTCCACAGAGTGTCACCTGACTGTACAGTCACCTTGGCAGGCTTGACAGGCCCCGTAGACCTCTTCGGCTTAACTGCTCCCTTCTTCGCCATGCCATTGGCCGACAGCCACCTCGACCCAGCCTGCCCCTGCTTCTGATTCCCCCATCCCCTCTTTGCCGCCTCTTCGGTTTTCAGCCCCATCATGTGTACGCCTGTCAGCTTAAACCGCGCTTTCTCCACGCCGCCTTTCCCCCCGGGCTGCTCCTCATCATCCACCTCCTCCACAATCGGATCCCCATCCCTCCGCCGATTGCTCGCTCCGTTCCGCACCGTCAGCGGCCCACCGGAGGGCCGCACAGCCGTGCCCGTGTGCAGATTATACGCGATCCTCCTCACACCTCCACCTTCCGGCAACGCCTTTGCACCTCCCTCCAGCGCTGCGGCACCATTGCCACTGTTCTTCTCATCATCACCATCAGCAGCAGGGGGGGCTCGTTCCGCCTGCATCAGAGCCATCATGGGCGCACCCACAGGCTCAAAGTTCCTGAGAGGGTCCCTCAGCTGCACCAGCATCGCCACTGTCACCTTATCCCCCATCAGCCCCCCTTCTCCCCCTCCACCCCCACCCACCATCCCCCCCATCCCTCCCATACCCATCATCCCCATCCCCGCACCCCCCATCATCCCCATCCCTCCAGCACCGCCCCACACCGCCAGCCCCCGTCCCATCCCTCCACCCATCCCACCACCCATCCCTCCACCCACCCCTCCTCTCACAGCCGCAAGATCCGTCCTCAACCGCGCAATATCATGCAGAACCATCTCGCCTGCACCATGCGCCGCACAGTGCGCCTGCAGCACTGCCAAGGTGTCATCCTCTGTCTCAAAGTCCTCGAAAATCCCAGCGTCCAGCCGCTGCCACTCATCTAATGATACTGCCAGCCCCATGGTTCCCCCCCCTGCCGCCACCATTGCCCACTCATCCCCCCCTGCACCCATCTCCGCCCCTCCATACCCCCCATTTGTCAACATCCCTGCTCCCCCCCCGCCATACATCAACTCCCCCATCCCTCCCCTCCCCGCCCCCCCTCCCATCCCCAACGCGCCATACCCACCCATCCCCAACGCACCCCCGTCCCCACCCTCCTTCCCCAAATCAATCGCATACGGCGCCAGCAAATCAGAAGCGTCGTTCTGCACTCTCAGCCCCTCCAACGCCATCCGTTCGATCTGCTCCATGGCCAGCGCGCCCAGCTCATCCAACGGCACATATTCCTCCTCGCCATCCTCCCACCCCTCCTCCTCCATCAGCATTAGCTCCCTCTTCAGCTCCTCATCCATATCCTCCTCTATAAACAACCCCCCTGCAAGCAACCTTCTGTCTCCGTTCGCTCCGTTCCCCCCGTTCCCTCCGTTCCCTCCGTTCCCTCCCTTCCCTCCCTCCCCACCAACACCAGCCAACTCCCCAGCCGTCCGCCTTAGCAGCGCCAGCCGCCCCTCCTTGGCTCCGCCTCCCCCAGTTGCGCCCTCCCCTGCTTCCCCCTCCCCTCCCCCTCCGCCCTGCTCCAGCAGCAGCTGCTTCTGCACAATCCTCTGCTTTGCCACGGCTATCATCCTGCCTCGGCGCCGCAGCCGAACCAGAGTGCCAGCCAAGGCGGATTGCCGAGCCACCGCCGCCATAGCTTCGGGCGTCAAGCTGCCGCCCATACCTAATGCCAATTCTCCTGCCGAGCCTCCTCCCACTGTTGCCAGCTGTCCCGCACCTACATGCACAAGCTGCCCGCCTTGCATCCCTGCTGCTGCTCCTTCCAAAGCCAAGTAATTTCCTCCTGCACGCCCTTCCAGGGCCAGATAGCCTTCTCCTCCCCCTAATGCTGCTGCTGCTGCTGCGCCAAGGGCCCTCCTGTAACAGGGAAAAGGACCAGGGGTGAAGGAGCAGGGAAAAGGAAGGAAAGGGTTGAACGGAAATCCAGGACTTAGCAGAGAGAAGGGGAAGATGGGAGGGAGGGAGGGGGAGGAGAGGGAGGAAAAGCTGCATCCGATAGAGGTCGTTTTGCACTCACTAACTCACACAATCTAACTCCCTCACTCACAATAACCTCCTGTTTCCACCTCTGAGGCGCGCCAAGCCGTCTCCGATGCTCCTCTACCCCCCATCCAGGAACAGCAGTCCTCTCACTCTCCATGGCCCTCACTCCCACTCACCCCTCACAGTAGCCGCATGATCCCACCGTCTCACCTCGGAGGCGCGCCGAGCTGTCTCAGATGGTCCTCGTACCCCCCACCGCCCACGCTATCAAGAAAAAGCAACCCCTCCCCTCATCAAGGGACTCGTTCCTCCCATCCAAACACCTCCTAGTCCCTCTGCAGATGTGACTATTGAGATCTCACCTCTCACTTTTGAGTCGACTCAAAAGTCAAAAGTCACTTTTGAGTCGACTTAAAAGTCAGAAGTCACTTTTGAGTCGTCTCAAAAGTCGTCTCCAAACACCTCCTAGTCCCTCTGCAGATGTGACTATCGAGATCTCACCTCTGCGGCGCGCCGAGTCTCCTCAGATGCTCCTCGTACCCTCCACCACCCGGCCCATCCAGGAACAGCAACCCCTCCGCCGCCATCTGCTCGAGTGCCTTCCCACTGACGTCCGGCAGGGGCATGAGCATGTGCTCTTGGTGGGGTAAGGGGTGCATGGGATCTCACCTCTGAGGCGCGCCGAGTCTCCTCAGGTGTTCTTCATACCCTCCACCACCCGCCCCATCCAGGAACAGCAACCCTTCTGCCGCCATCTGCTCTAACGCCTTCCCACTGACGTCCGGCAAGGGCATGAGCATGTGGGCCTGCTGGGAAAGCGCGTCGATTCCCAGCGCCGCCATGCTCTGTATGATGTCACTGCCTTCTATTCCCATCTCCTTGGGTACCACGACTGCACGGGAGAACTGTGGAGGGGGGAAAGAGTGGGGGGAAGGGGAGGGGAGGGGCAGGGGGACGGGTAGGAGCGGGAGAGAAGGCATGAGCATGTGCGCCTGCTGGGATAAGGTGTCTATCCCCACTGTCGCCATGCTCTGAATCATGTCACTTCCCTCTATGCTCCTTTCCTTGGGTACCCCTTCCCTCTTTCACCTCCCTCCCACCACCCTTACCTGCATGACCAGCCGCCCCTTCAGTAAAATGTCTTCCCGACATGGACGTCAGAAACCCGCCCCCAGGCAGCGCAATCGCGGACCCCATGCCCTGCACCAGCTCGGGGGGCGCCATGGTGGGCGGCACTGCCCCCTCTCTATCCCACCCTTCCCCCACCCCTTCCCCATCCCACCCCACCCCTCCCCCTCTCACCTCTCCCAAGCACCGAGCATACCTGCATCACGAGCCGGCTCGCCCCTTCATGTCTCCCCGACATGGAAGTCAAGAACCCGCCACCAGGCAGCGCGATCGCCGACCCCATGCCCTGCACCAGCTCGGGGGGCGCCATGGTGGGAGGAACAACCCTTCTCTACCCCACCCACCACTCTCCACCCCTTCTCACCGTTACCACCCTCACCCCTCTCCCTCCCAGCCCCCTTACCTGCATCACGAGCCGGCTCGCCCCTTCAGTAAAATGTCTCCCCGACATGGACGTCAGGAATCCTCCTCCAGGCAGCGCGATCGCGGACCCCATGCCTTGCACCAGCTCCGGGGGCGCCATGGAGGGCGGAACCGCCAGCACCATGGGGTCCGCGCCCCTCAGCGCGCCGAGCTGCGCCAGCCCGCCCGCCCCCCCGTACAGCGCCGCGCTGGCGGACGCCAGCCCGGTCGCGGCGCACGTGGGCGCGAGCACGCTGCTGAGACTCTTCAGCGGGGGGAGGGGGAAGGCGCCGGGGGGGAATGGGGAGCCGGGGGAGTAGGGGGAAGCGGGGAAGGGGGATGCGGGGAAGGAGGGGGAGAATGTGGTGGTGGTGGTGGCGGTGACACCCCCCACGCTGCTGCGCGTGCTGATGCTGTTGATGCCGCCGCTGCTGCCTGTATTCACCGTCGTGAAGGGCCCAGATGATGCCAGCGAGGGCATGTGCATCCCCCCGAACCCCGCGCCTGGCGCCAGCGCGCCCTGCTGAATCGCCGCCAGGGTCAACGCGCTTGGCGCGCCTCCTCTCTCGCTGCTTCTCCCCCCGCCTGCTGCTACCAGCCCGCCAGGCCCCGCCACGGGCACCATCGCCCCCGCGCCTTCCGCGTCTCCGCCAGAGGGTCCGCGGCTTCCGCCCTTCTTCCCCGCGCCTGCTGCTGCGCCCGCCGCCACCAGCCCGCCAGGCCCCGCCACAGGCACCATCGCTCTGCAAGCTTCTGCTTCTGCTGCTGCCGCCGCTGCTGCTGCATCAGCGGGGGAGGTCAGCGCAGCTCTCGCCCCCCGCCCCGCCCCTCGCCCCGCCCCACCCCCCGCCCCGACGCTGCTTCCGCGCCCAATACCGCTCTCCCCGCTCATCTTAATCTCAATCGTTCCGCCGCTTCTCCCGCTGCCGCCCAGAGGCCCCGCCGTCCCCCGCACGAGCGCCCGCGGGATGCCAGTTGTCACCTCCTCCACCTCTGCTGACGTGGACAGCTGCCGCGCCGCGCCCCTGCCAGCTGGCACGAGCGCAGTCGACGTCGAGGAGGCCTCCGCGCTCGCGCTTCTCCTCGCTTCCGCTTCCGCCGCCTCCTCCTCCCCCTCCCACCCCTTCCCCCCGCGCCCTTCCTTCCCCGCCGCGCGCTCCTCCTCCATAAGCTGCACTCTCTCCTGCACCGTCAGCCGTCCCCTCCCCCTGCCTCCGCCCGCCCCCGCGCCCGCCGCCCCCCGACCGCCTGCTCTCAGCACAAGCGCGCTGCTGGCGCCCGCGCCCCTCCCCGCGCCCCTCCCGGCGCCGTTCCCCGCGCCGCTGCCAGCGGCGGCGAGCGGGCCTGCGGTGGACCAGCGCTTGCGCGCAGGGGCCGCGAGAGCCGCGGAAGCGGTAACGGCGGCGGCAGCAGGGGGTGCGCCCCTGCCCCTCCCCGCCACCACCAGCGCTGCGGACTGCACACCCGCAACAGCAGCAGCAGCGGCGGGTTCCGAAGCAGGTGTGACAGGAGCGGCAGGAGGCGCCGCAGCTAAGGGAACCGCAGCGGAGGCGGCGGCGGCGGGCGCGTGGCCGCGGAAGCGCAGCATGAGCGCGGCTTCCTCCTCCGAGTCGAGCAGGCGCGCCTTGCGGCGGCTCTTCTCCTCGATCTCCGCGCGCTGCTGCTCCTCCTCCGCCTCCCGTAGCATGCACGACAGGTCGTCCTCGCCCTCCCCTTCCCCTTCCCCCACATCCTCCCCCTGCCCTGCCTCCCGCCCTACACCATTGCACGCCATCATTCCTTCACCCACCTCCTCCTCCTCCTCTTCCTCTTCCTCCTCTTCTTCCTCTTCTTCCTCTTCCTCCTCCTCCTCCTCCTCGTCCTCGTCTTCATGAGAAGACACCTCCCCGCTCCCCTCCATCCACTCGCGCTCACTCGCGCCAACACTGTTGCTGCCCACGCGGCTCGACGCCTGGCGCGCGGGGCTCAGCAGCCCTTCCGCCACGCCCAGCAGCCCCCCCTCCCGCCCATCCTCCCCGTCCTCCCCTTCCCCGTCCTCTCCGCCGCCAAACCCGTCGAGACTCCCCGGCGCGCCGTCGAGCGCGCCGGACTGCATGAGCAGCTCAAGAAACTCGTCGGATACCAGATCCATCTCCTCCTCCAAACCCGCCGCATTTCCCGCCGCATGCCCCGCTACTTTCATATCCCCGTCCGCCCACTCGCGCCCCGGCGAGTAACCGTAATCGTCGCCGCCAGTCAGCCCTTTCGCGGACTCTTCCCCCTTCCGCTCCGCCACCTCCGCGCTCCGCTCCGCCTGCAGCGTCCACTCGAACTCCAGCATCGCCTGCGCCATGCGCGACCGCCCGCCCTCGCCCGCCGAACTCGCGGAATCGAGCGACGCGTCGCGGCCACTGGTGGTGGTCGTCGTCGAGGTGGTGGTGGTGGCGACGCTGGTGGTGGCCGTGCCTGGGTCCACCCGCACCGTGCGCTCCTCCCCCGAATCCCTCTGCACCGCATAACCTCCCATCACCTTCTTCACCTCCACTCTGCCGCCCTCCTCCTCCTCCTCTTCCTCTTCGTCCTCCTCATCCTCGTCTTCATCCTCGTCATCGTCATCCTCATCGTCCTCCTCCTCATCATCACTCTCTTCTTCTTCCTCGTCTTCCTCTCCCTCTTCCTCCTCCTCCTCTTCGTCGTTAAGCCCCTCCCCTTCCGCCAAAACATCCGCCAAGTCCACCGCCTCCCCCTCCCCCTCCGCCTCCTTCTCCGCCGTGCCCCCTCCGCCTCCCCCTCCGCTCGCCTCGCCCTTGCCGTCCGAGCGCATATCCTTCGCCGCAACCTTCTCCTTCTCCTCCTCCTCTTCCTCCTCCTCCACCACCGTCCGCATCGCGCTTCCGCCCGACATCATGCGCATCAGCGGGCCCGCGCGGGTTCCGCGGGCGTCCCCCTGGCTCCGCGCGCTCTGAGGCGCCGCGGAGCGATCCGCCGGCGCTTGGTACAGGGAGAACGACAGCTTCTTCTTCTGCTTCGGCGAAGCTTCGTCCTTCTCGCTTCCGCCGCGCGGACTCGCCTGCGGGCTCCCCGGGGGACTGCTGGACGGCGACACCGCCGCCGCCGCCGCCGCGATCGCCGTCGCGGCGTACAGGCGGAACGACTTGGTGTCAACTCGCGCGAGGAAATTAACGCCGCGGCCGAGTTGTAACTCGTACCCGAACGTCGCTACCATGACGGCCCCCTCCGCCAATCCCGCGAGCTGAAAGCTCAGCGTCACGGGCTGCCCCTCGTTCTCGCGCAGCGACGCGGGGAGCAGCTTCGCTAGATCCACGGAATGCCGCCCGAGCTCCGCGACGTAGCCAATCCCGGACGTCTTGAGCATCTGCACGCAGAGCGTCGACGCTTTCCGTTTAAACTTCACCGTCCCCTGCGCTCCGGCGTTGAAGAACATCGTGCAGGACATCGTGAGCGTCTGCTCGAAGCGCGCGACGCCGCGGTGCACCACCATGGGGCTCGTGCCGACGGACATGCCGCGGCGCAGCCATTGCACGACGAGCTCCTTCCCCTCCATGTCTTTCGGGAAATTATCCACCCCGTGTACGTGCATAGCCACCGTGCACTGCGCCTTCTTGCTCCCCACGCGCCCTAACAGCCGGAACGGCGCGAACGTCTCGAGGAAGCTCGGCTTCTCCGGGACTTGCGGGATGACGAGGTTCCGGCTGAACTTGACCTGGTCGGCGAGCCAGGCTCGGAAGTCGACCGAGGCTAGGTTAGGTTCGTCCGTTGGCGGGTAGTGGCTGTACGCGTGGTTGTGAGTGAAGACGGCGACATTTTTGTTGAGGGTTTCGGACGCGTGGACTCCGGCTTGAAGCACGCGGCTCGACTCCTTGGCGCTGATGCTGCGGCCGTGCAGCGCGAGGCCGGATTTTCGCTGCACTCCCACCCTCGAGTCGTCCATCGCGAAAGGCGGCGCGACGGACTGGTTTCTAAGATGGAAGGCTGGTTTCCGTCAGTCCTTACGCATTCTGCCAGTCTTACTAAATTTTTACTGAAGGTCCACCGGAAAGGTCTTCTAAGAGACGAAGGTTACGCAAGCAAGACCTTGCGAGCTACATGAACGCGAGATGCGGAGAGACTAGTTCCTAGAGAATGCTGCATGCCCTGTCGAGTTTCGACGAGGCCGATGCGAGGAACCAACGACAGGCCACTGAAGTGTCTCTCTGAGACCGAGTGGGCAGAGCAGAGACGAGAAGAAGCTCTCCTGTTGTCGAGCGTGTTACGACAGCAGACGAGGAAAGCTGTGTGGTGTGGTGTGGAATCGAATGGAAGCTATGGAGGGTGCTCGCTCACTTCACTTCGCCAACCACTTCCCGTGCGGTTCAGCACTGTTCTGCGTGGTCAGGGTGTTTCAGATCTGACTGTGCAAGATGCCGAGGGCAGTTAGGGAAGAAACAATTCAGGTGCGGAGAAACGGACTCGAACTGGTTCGTTGGCACGTATGGCGCAGGTTCGTAATGTTACGCGGGAAGAAAGCCAGGTTAGGTACCAGAATGAAAGCTTTATTTGGCTCGAGGGATGGCTTGGTAGGAATTTCTTAGGGTCATTGTTCATCGTGATTCGCTGTTGCCCCTGGCTGGTTGCGGCTTGGAGTGACGAATCGCATCTGCTGATTCTTTTGTCTGCCCGCAAACTGCGCAAGAGGCACTGCTGCCACCAGTCATCTCGTCTCCCCAGGCCTCACTTCCGCGCCAAGGGGATCCCGAGCCATGTTTGACACGCCCAAAGCTGCAGCTCCGGCCTGGCTAGAGACGTGCGGCACGTAAATCTCGAGCCTAGTCTTCGGTTTGTGTGAGCCTTCTGACATGCCGCACCTAACTTTTCTTGGCAAGGAACGCGCTTGGCGAAATTTGATGTGACGGGTCACACCAGACGCTTGCGCCAAGCGTCGTCCACTTGACAGGCGGGTGCAGTTGGCATGCGAACCTTTTCGCAGCATCCGTTTCGCTTGCTCGCGCACAAGGGGGAATATAATGGGAAACAAAAAACACATTCAATGGTTGCGTAGTAACCCGTCGTGAATGCTGAATCTTTTTGCTTTTGGATCAACAAATCAACGAGCCAAGACGTGCGTTACGAACTCACACTCTTCGCCACAGTCGCCTTGTTTCGACTCATAATCGCGGATCCGCTTGTAACCATCTCTGTTGCATATTTCAGAAATCAAATTCGGAATCATGAAACGTGAAAGCTAAATCACAACCATGGAAGCTTCTGGGATGGAGGTGGTTTTCGCCAGCCTCATGGATTTCTTGTGCCTAGCATGACGCAGCATATCCCGCCAAATGGTTAGCCCAAGAGCCACTCGATGGCAAAATCGCCTTCCGCACGCACTTCGCCTGCGCGTCAGCTCCTGCACCGAGCCCCAAGCGCATTCTCCCCCCATCCCCTGCTTGCTGGGGTTCTCCATTCTCTCCGCTGTGTGTACCCTAGCCTACATTGCTGGTGTAATTCCACACTCTAAATCCGCACCGCCAAAACTCCGGACACACTACGATCTTCCTGGAGGATTCGGGAGAGTGGTTTCTTCGGGCGAGGCGATTTCTCCCCACGAGGAAATCTCGTCGGGATCAGCGTGGGATCTGCGCGATGACGAGGTGCTCCCTGGAGTGTCGCACGCCCGACTGGCGAAATGGCGAGCCTCCGCCGCGCGATCACGGCTGAGTACCGCAGCTGACGCTGATACTACGGCTAGAGCTACACCGGTTGATGCTGCTCGAGCTGACGACGATGAAGCTTCCTATTCTGACCTGAAGAGACAGCATGAAGGTGGTGGCGAATCGTGCGGCTGGCCGGTGCCTGCTGCTCCCGCGCGCGAAACGGAGGAGGGTTTTCAGGGGGACTCGGTTTGGTACAGCACGAATGGCAGCGAGTGGATGCAGCACGGATATATGGAGATGCTTCTAGCGGGGATGGCGGCGCGCGGAAGGGGACAAGCGGGGGTGGGGGAAGAGGAGCCAGAGGTGAGGTGGCCCACCTTGGGTGAAGATCTGATGGTGCAAAGATGGGTGGAGATATATGAATTGTTGGTTGAGCTTCCGCCTTGGCACTCCTGTTGCGCCTGCTTCATTATCATTCTTGTTTTCTCTTTCCACCCTCAACTCTCATCCGCTCCCTTCCCTCTTCCCCTCCAGGCTGTATGCGTGGCGGTGTATCTGCCACCCCATTGGTTCCCCTGCTCCGACTCGCCAGCTGGCTGCCAGCTGGCAGTGTGGGTCCGCCCTGCGTCGTCCGACGTGGCGCTCCTCTACCACCTGCTCGACACGCGCGCATTCCGCTTCCTGCGCCCCTCGCTGCTCCCCCACTTCCGCCCGTCCGCCATCCTTGATGCCGGTGCCAACATCGGCCTCGCCTCCCTCATCTTTGCCATTCGGTACGGCAATGGCGCGTTGTCACCTTATGCTGCTGCCCCAGTGTGATGCAGCTATGTGTATATGCCATGTGCTGCTGCATGCAAACACATGCTGCTGGTGCCAACATCGGCCTCGCCTCCCTCATTTTCGCCATTCGCTACGGCAATGGCACGTGTCTCCTTGGCGTTCATTCATGAGGACATGACACATTGATTCAGCTGTAAATAAACGGCTCATGCTCCCGCCACACGCTCCCGCCACACGCTCCTGCCACACGCTCCTGCCACACGCTCCTGCCACACGCTCCTGCCACACGCTCCTGCCACACGCTCCTGCCACTTGCTCCACCATCCTCCACGCATTCCCCTTGAGCTCTCCCTTATTTGGCCATTCTCAACGCATGAAACATTTGTTTCTCAATCACCATTCTCTCTCCCCATTGCTTCCCGTCTCCACCCCACTTCTCCCCTTCCCCAAGCAGCTTCCCTGATGCGCTGGTAGTGTCACTCATGGCTGGAAGGGCTGCAGTGCTAGAGAACGCTCTTAGCGAGTAAGAAAGAGAGCAAAAAGTGTATCCACTTCTCCCCTTCCCCGAGCAGCTTCCCTGATGCGCTGGTAGTGGCAGTGGTGGAGAGCCAGCACGGGACAAATTCGATCTGCCCGCGCCTGAACCAGTTTGCTGTCCCTCACTCTTCGTCCCTCCTTGCTCATTGCTTTCTCCATGCCTGCTGAGCAGCTTCCAGGATGCACTGATAGTGGCAGTGGAGCCGGCACATCGGACACTCGTTTACTCCATCAACCTCTGCACATTCCTTTACCACGTTCCATTCTCTCCCCATTACATACGCCTCGTCCTTCCATCCCCCAATTCCGCCCCACTTATTTCCTTCCCCCGAGCAGCTTCCCGGATGCGCTGATAGTGGCAGTGGAGCCGGCGCGGGACAACTTCGCCCTGCTGCAGCGCAATGTGAAGCACCTCCCCCAGATACTGCCAGTCAATGCCGCCCTCTGGTCGCACGACACCCGGATAGCCGTCACTGCGGGCCGAAGGGAGGGCTTCTGGGCGTACGAGACACACGCGTGTGGGGAGACGCAGCAATTACATCAAGGGCAGGAGACACAGCAGCAACTTGTGCAGCAGCAGCAGGACCAGTGGCAGCAGCAGCAGCAGCAATCCAGCAGCAACATGGGATCTCCGTCACTGCGATCCTCTGCTGCTGCTGCTGCTGCTGCTGCTGCTGCCAACCACTCTCCTGCTCCCCCCTCCCCCTGCATGCCGGCTGTCTCGGTGCCGTCGCTGCTGCAGCGCGTGCAGCTGCCACGCTTTGACTACATGAAGATTGACATTGAGGGCGCTGAGAAAGAGGTGTTCTGCTCTGCAGCTGGAGCAGGAACAACAGATGCAGCAGCAGCAGCAGCAGCAGCGGGGGGGTGGCACCGTGATGCGGCAGTGCTGTCAGTGGAGGTGCATGAGGACTTGGCGCCGGGGATAGGCGCGTGCATGGAGGGGGTGTATCCACGCACGCGGTACGACGTGCGCACGTATGGGGAGAACACTGTGTACTTTAGCCCCCACGTGTGGGTGCATGCGCTGAAACCACTGGATCTGAGCGTGCGGTGAGGGGTAGGAGGGGTGTGTTGGTGCTACCAGAGAGGCTTGGGGGTGTATCCGCGCACGCGGTACGACGTGCGCATGTACGGGGAGAACACCGTGTACATAAGTCCACACGTGTGGGTGCATGCACTGAAACCACTGGATCTGAGTGTGCAGTGAGCGTGCTGTTACTTCAGCCCCCACGTGTGGGTGCATGCGCTGAAACCACTGGATCTGAGCGTGCGGTGAGGGGTAGGAGGGGTGTGTTGGTGCTACCAGAGAGGCTTGGGGGTGTATCCGCGCACGCGGTACGACGTGCGCATGTATGGGGAAAACACAATGTACTTCAGACCACACATGTGGGTGCATGCACTCAAGCAGCTGGATCTGAGCGTGCGGTGAGCATGGGAGAGTGTTGCTCAGCACACAGGTGTGGGTGCAGGCGCTGAAACCGTTGGATCTGAGTGGGCGGTGAGCGCGGGAGAGGGTTACTGCCAGGTTTGGTGAACGGCGCAAGCTGATTTTTTTCAGACAGGTTTGGGTGCATTTGATAAAAAGGAGTTTTTGAGACGTTTCGAAACTCTCACGTGGATCTGAGCGTGCGGTGAGCACGGGAGAGTGTACTGCCACAGGTGTGGGTGCATGCACTGAAGGGACTGGATGTGACAGTGCAGTGAGGCTGGGTGGTAAAGGGGGGATATCATACTTCTTGGCGTGTCACTGCATCTTGGTGTACTGTAACGTGCCACAAGCTGTGGACACCAGCCAAAGCGCGGCCGGGAACATTCACTATCACTTGAGAAGAAGTGTATGTTGTTCATTATTAAATTTTATGTGCAGGTTCCAGCCCAGGGCCCAAATTATCAGGGTAAAATACCCTGTTTGCCCTGATGAGCGGCCGCTTTTTCCCAGTTACCCTTGCCAAATCAGCCTATGAAATTTTTTACCCTAGTGAAAAAAGGGTAAGGTTTTGAATACAGATAACGATTTCGGTTACACTGCCGGTATCAGGGTGCGCTGCACATTACACTGATACCGAATCCTCTGTAGGGAGGATTTTCCGTGCGATGCCGCAAAATATCATTACAATGCAGGTAATATATCTGGCAAAGTATGAACATTTTTACACTCAAATAGTGTAACAATAATTTTACCCTGACACAAACAGTTTATCTGAAATTTTAGGCTGCTGCCATCAGTGTACGGAAAATATTACCCTAGGGGTCAGGGTACTGGGGGCCTGGAACCCTGATTTGCAAGAGTGACCCAAAACCAATTTTGGGCCCTGTTCCAGCCAGACCCAAGGCAAAGAAAGCTTGAGCTTGAATGCTTGTAGGCTGCCCAACCCAAACCATGATTGTGAATCCAGTGCATGAACGCGTGTGCATGTAGAGAGCTACATGGAGTGCAGTCGGTTGTCAATCTCATTGGCCACGCGGTGGAAGTAGGCCATGCGGTGCAGCAGCCCCACACACGCGCCCACATCGCCCCCCCGGAACGCTGAGTCAAAGCTGCCATACAGCCCTTCCATTCTCTCCTGGGTCTTCACAACGTAGTGCAAGGCGCCCACCCAGCCAAAGAACAAAAACAGAATGGGAGCAACAAGAGAGTTGACTGGTACAGAGTATCCAAGGAAGAGCCATGTACCGGTACGAGCGATGCAGTTGTACTGATTTTGACATGTCTAACATGCATGTGCTCTGGAACATGCATGTGGCCTGAATCGGCTCAGGCCACATGCACCATCTCACCTCACCTCACCTCACCTGATCTGATCTCACCCCACTTCACCTCTTCTTAGCTAACTTCAAACTCAAAATACTAACAGAGAAACGTTCCCCACCAACCACTCTGAACCACGTCTTCCAGAATACAGCTAATTCCAGGCCCCACTTCCGGCTCCCTCTCTCCCAAATCCATCTCCTGCCTACTCCAATGGTTGCCCGTCCCCACCTGCGACTGTGGCGCCTGCAGCTCCTCAGGGCTGTCGGCGTCCTCAATGGTCTCCCTCATTTCCAACACCCTCTCTTCCCCCTCTCCCTCCCCCTCAACCCCACCCCCCCACGCATACACCTGCAGCTGCAGCTCCTTAAGCTCCTCAGGGCTGTCAGCGTCCTCGATGGTCTCCCTCAGCTCCATCACCTGCCGCACCACCACACGCACAGACACCAGTGGGCAGAGGGGTGGCACACAGTTTGAGTGAGCGGAGAACCTCAAGACTTTTTAGGGTTGCTGCAACTCGTCATTGTCAGTATTCTTGATGGTTTCCCTCAGCTCCATCACCTGCCGCACCGTCATACGCACACACAGACGCACATCAGTGGGCAGAGGGGTGGCACGCAGTGTGAGTGAGTGAGCGGAGAACCTCTCCTGGTGTTATTAAATGCGCCAACTACACATAGCCAGCGTTCTCACCCTCCCCACCACCACCCTCCCCACAAGAACCCTTTCCACTCACACGCGCACCTGCATCAGCCCTCACCCCCAACCACAAGCACACACACACGCGCATCCTTATAAGCAGCTGTTGGTCCCTCCCCGGGCTGTCGCCACTCAGCTCTGCTGCTGTCACTCCAGCACCCTCCCAAGAAGCACCCTCCCCACAAACAACCTCCCCACAAGCACCCTCTCCCAAGCACACGCACACCTCCATGAGAAGCTGTTGGTCCCTCCCTGGGCTGTCCCCACTCAGCTCTGCTGCTGTCACTCCACTGGCCCGCAGCTGAGAAAGTGAGGAGGGGTGAGGTGACGGGGAGACGAGAGGAGAAAAGTGGACAAACGAGGGAGAGAGAAGGGAGGAACAGGCACGGCTGTCCCCGCTCAGCTCTGCTGCTGTCACGCCATTGGCCCGCAGCTGGAAGTGGGGGGAGGGGTGAGGGTGAGGGGTGAAAGGGGGGATGAGAGGAGGCGAACTGGAGAAACGAGGGAGGGCGAATGGGGGAAGAGCCACGGCTGTCCCCACTCAGCTCTGCTGCTGTCACTCCACTGGCTCGGAGCTGAGTGGGGAGAGGGGGGGATTGGGGTGGGCGGGAAAGGGGGAATGTGGGGAGATAGGAGGAGAACAACCCGGGAGGACAGAGAGAAAGAAAAGGAAGGTAGAAGGGGGGGGAGTCAGGCTGTCACCACTCAGCTCTGCTGGCGTGATGCTGAGAGAGGGGGAAACACGAAGGGCTCCGAGGAGAACAAAAGCGGGAAACAACACACACGTATATATAAACATATACATTTCATTAAAGGAAAAGTATACATATATATATCAACGGAGCCAACTAGAAGGAAAGGGCGTTGTAGAAACGGAGTGTGCAACGCAATGCACCATGCACGAGCAGTCCGATCGATGCAGCGGAATCCGGACAGGCAGACGGCCTCATCATCAGCTGATGATGACGCCGCAGCGGATGGCAGAAGGCGGATGGCAGAAGGCGGATGGCAGAAGGCGGATGGCAGAAGGCGGATGGCAGAAGGCGGATGGCAGAAGGCGGATGGCAGAAGGCGGATGGCGGATGGGAGCCTCGTCAGCTCCCTCCTTGGAGGCACTTTTGAGAGAGAGAGAGCTGATGAGGTTGCCATCCGCCATCTGCCACCCGCCACGCGCTGCTGGTGTTGGAGCCACCAAGGGGTGCAAGGTGGTGTCAGTCAGTGGGCCTGTGCAGCCTCACTGAGATTGACCAGACACATTGCCGGCGGCAGCCCAGCACTCACTCTTGCCTCCTCACAATCGCCTCGCCTCCAATCTCCCCATCCCCCACCTGGCCCCCCTATCACAGATGGTGTCAGTAAGTGGACCTGTGCAGCCTCACTGAGTTTGACTCAGTCCTCTGCCAGCACTGGTGCCCGCATTACACATGGGAAGTGTGGTGAGGGGGGGCCTTACAAGGTACTTAGCGCGGGAGAGCGGTCTGAGGAGCGTGTAGTAGGCGTCTATCACATGCGCTGCCTGCTGTGCTGCTGCCAGTGTAGTGCCCGCATTACACATGGGAAGTGCGGTGAGGGGGGGCCTTACAAGGTACTTGGCGCGGGAGAGCGGTCTGAGGAGCGTGTAGTAGGCGTCTATCACATGCGCTGCCTGCTGTGCTGCTGCCAGTGTAGTGCCCGCATTACACATGGGAAGTGCGGTGAGGGGGGGCCTTACAAGGTACTTGGCACGGGAGAGCGGTCTGAGGAGCGTGTAGTTGGCGTCTATCACATGCGCTGCCTGCTGTGCTGCTGCCAGTGTAGTGGCCGCATTACACATGGGAAGTGCGGTGAGGGGGGGCCTTACAAGGTACTTGGCGCGGGAGAGCGGTCTGAGGAGCGTGTAGTAGGCGTCTATCACATGCGCTGCCTGCTCCGCTGATAGCTCACGCTCCTCCTGCTCCATGTGCGTGTTGTGAAAACATGCACAATGCGCATCAACCACCGTTCAAAACCTCTACCCCATGTCGCCCACCCACATGCATACCGTCACATACCATGGCGTTCAATCTCATGCCATGTCATGCCATGCCATGCCATGCCATGCCGTCCACGAGCAAAGCGAGAGATGGAGCACACAAATATCTCACAAGGTCGCAAATATCTGCAACTGAGAAATCGATCTCCCAATACCTTGCTCATCACTTGCCCCCCCCCCCTCCCCCATCGCATGCTCACCCCGGGCTTTACCCCATGCACATCCGGTCCGGGTGCAGCATCTTCTGCAGCTGCCTTGAAGGGTTTAGGGTACCCCATGCACCGCTCCACCCCCTTCCCCCTCATCCCACCCAAGCCTCATCCCACCCATGCCTCACCCCTCCCATGCCTCACCCCACCCATGCCTCACCCCACCCATGCCTCACCCCACCCATGCCTCACCCCACCCATGCCTCACCCCTCCCATGCCTCACCCCACCCATGCCTCACCCCACCCATGCCTCACCCCACCCATGCCTCACCCCACCCATGCCTCACCCCACCCATGCCTCACCCCTCCCATGCCTCACCCCTCCCATGCCTCACCCCTCCCATGCCTCACCCCTCCCATGCCTCACCCCTCCCATGCCTCACCCCTCCCATGCCTCACCCCTCCCATGCCTCACCCCTCCCATGCCTCACCCCTCCCATGCCTCACCCCTCCCATGCCTCACCCCTCCCATGCCTCACCCCTCCCATGCCTCGCCCCTCCCATGCCTCGCCCCTCCCATGCCTCACCCCTCCCATGCCTCACCCCTCCCATGCCTCACCCCTCCCATGCCTCACCCTTCCCATGCCTCACCCCTCCCATGCCTCACCCCTCCCATGCCTCACCCCTCCCATGCCTCACCCCTCCCATGCCTCACCCCTCCCATGCCTCACCCCTCCCATGCCTCACCCCTCCCATGCCTCACCCCTCCCATGCCTCACCCCACCCATGCCTCACCCCTCCCATGCCTCACCCCTCCCATGCCTCACCCCTCCCATGCCTCACCCCTCCCATGCCTCACCCCACCCATGCCTCACCCCACCCATGCCTCACCCACCCATGCCCTCCCATGCCTCACCCCTCCCATGCCTCACCCCTCCCATGCCTCACCCCTCCCATGCCTCACCCCTCCCATGCCTCACCCCTCCCATGCCTCACCCCTCCCATGCCTCACCCCTCCCATGCCTCACCCCTCCCATGCCTCACCCCTCCCATGCCTCACCCCTCCCATGCCTCACCCCTCCCATGCCTCACCCCTCCCATGCCTCACCCCTCCCATGCCTCACCCCTCCCATGCCTCTGCCTCACCCCTCCCATGCCTCACCCCTCCCATGCCTCACCCCTCCCATGCCTCACCCCTCCCATGCCTCACCCCTCCCATGCCTCACCCCTCCCATGCCTCACCCCTCCCATGCCTCACCCCTCCCATGCCTCACCCCTCCCATGCCTCACCCCTCCCATGCCTCACCCCTCCCATGCCTCACCCCTCCCATGCCTCACCCCTCCCATGCCTCACCCCTCCCATGCCTCACCCCTCCCATGCCTCACCCCTCCCATGCCTCACCCCTCCCATGCCTCACCCCTCCCATGCCTCACCCCTCCCATGCCTCACCCCTCCCATGCCTCACCCCTCCCATGCCTCACCCCTCCCATGCCTCACCCCTCCCATGCCTCACCCCTCCCATGCCTCACCCCTCCCATGCCTCACCCCTCCCATGCCTCACCCCTCCCATGCCTCACCCCTCCCATGCCTCACCCCTCCCATGCCTCACCCCTCCCATGCCTCACCCCTCCCATGCCTCACCCCTCCCATGCCTCACCCCTCCCATGCCTCACCCCTCCCATGCCTCACCCCTCCCATGCCTCACCCCTCCCATGCCTCACCCCTCCCATGCCTCACCCCTCCCATGCCTCACCCCTCCCATGCCTCACCCCTCCCATGCCTCACCCCTCCCATGCCTCACCCCTCCCATGCCTCACCCCTCCCATGCCTCACCCCTCCCATGCCTCACCCCTCCCATGCCTCACCCCTCCCATGCCTCACCCCTCCCATGCCTCACCCCTCCCATGCCTCACCCCTCCCATGCCTCACCCCTCCCATGCCTCACCCCTCCCATGCCTCACCCCTCCCATGCCTCACCCCTCCCATGCCTCACCCCTCCCATGCCTCACCCCTCCCATGCCTCACCCCTCCCATGCCTCACCCCTCCCATGCCTCACCCCTCCCATGCCTCACCCCTCCCATGCCTCACCCCTCCCATGCCTCACCCCTCCCATGCCTCACCCCTCCCATGCCTCACCCCTCCCATGCCTCACCCCTCCCATGCCTCACCCCTCCCATGCCTCACCCCTCCCATGCCTCACCCCTCCCATGCCTCACCCCTCCCATGCCTCACCCCTCCCATGCCTCACCCCTCCCATGCCTCACCCCTCCCATGCCTCACCCCTCCCATGCCTCACCCCTCCCATGCCTCACCCCTCCCATGCCTCACCCCTCCCATGCCTCACCCCTCCCATGCCTCACCCCTCCCATGCCTCACCCCTCCCATGCCTCACCCCTCCCATGCCTCACCCCTCCCATGCCTCACCCCTCCCATGCCTCACCCCTCCCATGCCTCACCCCTCCCATGCCTCACCCCTCCCATGCCTCACCCCTCCCATGCCTCACCCCTCCCATGCCTCACCCCTCCCATGCCTCACCCCTCCCATGCCTCACCCCTCCCATGCCTCACCCCTCCCATGCCTCACCCCTCCCATGCCTCACCCCTCCCATGCCTCACCCCTCCCATGCCTCACCCCTCTCCATGCCTCACCCCTCCCATGCCTCACCCCTCCCATGCCTCACCCCTCCCATGCCTCACCCCTCCCATGCCTCACCCCTCCATGCCTCACCCCTCCCATGCCTCACCCCTCCCATGCCTCACCCCTCCCATGCCTCACCCCTCCCATGCCTCACCCCTCCCATGCCTCACCCCTCCCATGCCTCACCCCTCCCATGCCTCACCCCTCCCATGCCTCACCCCTCCCATGCCTCACCCCTCCCATGCCTCACCCCTCCCATGCCTCACCCCTCCCATGCCTCACCCCTCCCATGCCTCACCCCTCCCATGCCTCACCCCTCCCATGCCTCACCCCTCCCATGCCTCACCCCTCCCATGCCTCACCCCTCCCATGCCTCACCCCTCCCATGCCTCACCCCTCCCATGCCTCACCCCTCCCATGCCTCACCCCTCCCATGCCTCACCCCTCCCATGCCTCACCCCTCCCATGCCTCACCCCTCCCATGCCTCACCCCTCCCATGCCTCACCCCTCCCATGCCTCACCCCTCCCATGCCTCACCCCTCCCATGCCTCACCCCTCCCATGCCTCACCCCTCCCATGCCTCACCCCTCCCATGCCTCACCCCTCCCATGCCTCACCCCTCCCATGCCTCACCCCTCCCATGCCTCACCCCTCCCATGCCTCACCCCTCCCATGCCTCACCCCTCCCATGCCTCACCCCTCCCATGCCTCACCCCTCCCCATGCCTCACCCCTCCCATGCCTCACCCCTCCCATGCCTCACCCCTCCCATGCCTCACCCCTCCCATGCCTCACCCCTCCCATGCCTCACCCCTCCCATGCCTCACCCCTCCCATGCCTCACCCCTCCCATGCCTCACCCCTCCCATGCCTCACCCCTCCCATGCCTCACCCCTCCCATGCCTCACCCCTCCCATGCCTCACCCCTCCCATGCCTCACCCCCTCCCATGCCTCACCCCTCCCATGCCTCACCCCTCCCATGCCTCACCCCTCCCATGCCTCACCCCTCCCATGCCTCACCCCTCCCATGCCTCACCCCTCCCATGCCTCACCCCTCCCATGCCTCACCCCTCCCATGCCTCACCCCTCCCATGCCTCACCCCTCCCATGCCTCACCCCTCCCATGCCTCACCCCTCCCATGCCTCACCCCTCCCATGCCTCACCCCTCCCATGCCTCACCCCTCCCATGCCTCACCCCTCCCATGCCTCACCCCTCCCATGCCTCACCCCTCCCATGCCTCACCCCTCCCATGCCTCACCCCTCCCATGCCTCACCCCTCCCATGCCTCACCCCTCCCATGCCTCACCCCTCCCATGCCTCACCCCTCCCATGCCTCACCCCTCCCATGCCTCACCCCTCCCATGCCTCACCCCTCCCATGCCTCACCCCTCCCATGCCTCACCCCTCCCATGCCTCACCCCTCCCATGCCTCACCCCTCCCATGCCTCACCCCTCCCATGCCTCACCCCTCCCATGCCTCACCCCTCCCATGCCTCACCCCTCCCATGCCTCACCCCCCCCTCCCATGCCTCACCCCTCCCATGCCTCACCCCTCCCATGCCTCACCCCTCCCATGCCTCACCCCTCCCATGCCTCACCCCTCCCATGCCTCACCCCTCCCATGCCTCACCCCTCCCATGCCTCACCCCTCCCATGCCTCACCCCTCCCATGCCTCACCCCTCCCATGCCTCACCCCTCCCATGCCTCACCCCTCCCATGCCTCACCCCTCCCATGCCTCACCCCTCCCACACCTCACCTCCGACTTGCCCACATGCCATCCTTCCCCCCCCCCTCTCCCCCATGCCCCCTCCACCCTTCTCACCTGCGACCTGCCCCCATGCAGGTCCGGGTGCAGCATCTTCTGCAGCTGCTGTGAAGGAGAGTACTACGAGTACTCTCTCCCTTCCCCCATTCCCCCCTCTCTTCCCCCCCTCTCACCTGCGACCTGCCCCCATGCAGGTCCGGGTGCAGCATCTTCTGTAGCTGCTGCGAAAGAGGGTACCTTTGCACCTTCTCCTTAACCCCCTCCTCTCCCCTCCCTCACCCCTCACCCCTCGCACCCCTCACCTGCGACCTGCCCCCATGCAGGTCCGGGTGCAGCATCTTCTGCAGCTGCTGTGAAGGAGAGTACCCATTCACCTCCTGTTCCCTCCCCCGCCCTCCCCTTCCCCTTCCCCTTCCCCTTCCCCTTCCCCACCATCTCACCTGCGACCTGCCCCCATGCAGGTCCGGGTGCAGCATCTTCTGCAGCTGCTTGTAGCGCTGCTCCAACAACGATAGATCGATGGCGAATGCACGCGGGCTGGAGGGCGGCGGGCAGGGAGGGTGTGTGGGGGGGGGGAGGAGGGAAGGAGGGGAGGAAGCGGATGGAAAAAGAGCATCTCAGACTGCTGCTTGTAGCGCTCCTCTAATAGGGATAGGTTGATGGCGAATGCACGCGGGCTGGAGGGCGGTGGGCAGGGAGGGCGGGAGGGGGTGGAAGGAGCAGTGCAGAGGAAGTTGATTGGGAGAGAGGGCATCTCAGGCAGGTGCTTGCATGGCTGCTCCGGTGAGAAAGGTTGGTGGCGGCTGCACGCGGGCTGGGGCATCACAGGCGTGGAACAAAGCTGTGAAACTTAAGTTGGGCTTTTACGTATTTTAAGGCCACGTGAACGTTTATTTTGAAAGTGGGCATGATGAGGGAAGGGGGTGGACAGGATGAGGAAGGGGGTTGGATGGACAAGCGCGCCACATACCCCTCCAGGGTGGTGGCTGATAGCACGCTGCAAAAGATTGCCAGAAAGCTCGGAAGAAATAAATCTAACGCAATCCCAATTCCAAACGCGCCAGCCGCCACTCAAAGTCCCCAACAGCCACGCGCATGCCGCCAATCACCAACCAACTCACAGGCCGAACAGTTCGAACAGGTCCGTCTGCTTGTCCACCGGTTGCAGTGCGCCACATGTCCCGCAGAAGAACCGCCACGTCAGCGGATCGCCATCCTTGCTCGCGCCATCTCCCCTGCCCCTCGCGCCGTCCGCATCCGCATCCGCGCGCATGCCATCCGCGGAAGGGTTCCCCTTCTCGCCATCCGCGCGCGTATCAGCGCCGCGATCGGCGGAGCACAGCCAGCACGCGGACGCGTCATCAGCTGCTGACGTGGCAGGCGTCGCAGAGTCGACGGGCGTGTCTCGATCGCCGCTGCCGGCCGTCGCCGTCGCTGCTGACGTGGCTCCGTTTCCTGTGCGCGCCTCGTCGTGGTGGCACGGCTCGGCGGCGGAGTGGTGGCAGCGCGCTGCCGCCGCCCCCGCCGCCGCCGCTTCCGCTGGTGCTGCTGCTGCTGCGGATTCTGCGCGTGGCGCTGCGGGCCAAGGCGTATGAAAGCGCGCCGATGTTCCAAGCGCGGAAGGCGGCGAGGTTAGAGCGGACTGGAAGCGGCCGTGCATTAAGAAAGCGGGCTGAAAGCATACGCCAGGAAATTTGTGCGCCATGGGCTGCGACGCGGCAGGTGGCAGGGAGTCGGCGGTTTCGGCGGCGAGTAAAGCGGCCGAAGAATTCGTGGCGGCGGATTGGGTGCGACAGGTGGAGTCAGCGCGAACATGGTCAAGGGCGGGTTGGACGGCACTTGGCGTTGCCGCGAATGTGCGACTGGCGGTGCTTGCGACGAGCAGATCGCGAAGGCGACACTTGGCGAGCTGCTTCAGCGAGCCCGTCGCCATGGCGGGAAAGATTCTGTCAAGGGCCGACCCGCGCAAGCTGCAAGCACTGGAAGCTGCGCGCAGCGGAAGCTCCTACTACGAGCATCACAAGATCCTGCTATGAGGGGATGTGAGTCCTTCACCTTGCTGTGGAAGTGCCTGCAATGCTCGCTGCCTCGCTACTGCCAGCCCTACTACCGCTGCTATAACTTTCAAATACGCGCTAGCATTGTAAAAACGCTAACATTGTAATTCTTTGGTGCACAACATGCCATTGAATTGGATAGCCTTCTCAATGTAGATTCACTCCAACAGGATCATTCTCCAGTTCAGGCACTTTCCCAGCATACACCTTTGCCTTTAATATTTAAGACCCTGCTGGAACCCCTCCCTACAAACGCAACATTGTCTATGAGAGCGCATGGAATAATGATTGACTACTGTTACGGGTGCAATGGAACGAGGTAGCGAGGATTGCACTAAAGTGTCAAACGAGTACAAAGTATGAGCGAAGGCATGAGCGAATACTTATAAGCGAAAATACAAACGGTAGCGCGGCGCGTGCGAGCTAGCTAGTGAGATACTTGTCAAAATCGTAACATAAGTAGGAGCTAGGGTTTTGGTAGGTAAGCCTAGGCCAAGGGGGTATCAAGAGAGTTGTGCCAAGTAGAAGTGATTGCACAATGGAATGAGGGGTACAAATAGGCTAGCAACAAGAACAACTAGGGGTGCACCACCAAACAGAATACAGGATAACTACACTACAAATAAACCACAAGCAATTATATAAAATATATGAGATATATTTCGACACGCCCCCATAATTGCTTGCGGAGTGTAGTTATCGCCCCCCTGAAAGGGGTACACCAAGGTGCAGCAGAAATAGGAGAGGGCATGTGAGGAGGAGAGAGAGAGAGGAGAGGAGTTGGTGGGCGGCGGCTGAAGCTGCTGGCACACAGTGGTCACCCCTGTCAACCTCCCCCTTCTCCCCAAACCCCCACCCCCCCCCCCCCCTTCCGGTCAAACTATGTTTCTATGTTGTAGGTTGTAGTGGGGTAGCCTCTGTTGAGTACAACACTTTAGGGTTAGACCTTGCCCTACTTGTACTTATCCATCCTTTCTAGTCACTCATTCTTGCCCGTTATTTCTGACATGGTATTCAGAGCGGGTCCCTCCGTAGGACCGCTCCGTTAGGGCCCACCGTTAATCTTTCGCACTGCCCGAACTGCCCTGCCCGGTCGTAACCTGCCCTGCCCGAACAGCGTCCCTCACGCTGCCCTGCACGCGCTACCCACGTGCTCTGCCCTGCCCTGCACTCTGCCCGCGCGCCACCCTGCCCTGCAGCCCGCGCGCCGCTTTGCACTGCAGCCCGCGCGTCGCCCTGTCCTGCAGACCGCGCGCCGTCCTGCCCTGCAGCCCGCGCGCCGTCCTGCCCTGTAGCCCGCGCGTCGCCCTGCCCTGCAGCCTGCGCGCCGCCCTGCCCTGCAGCCCGCGCGCCGTCCTGCTGTGCAGCCTGCGCGTCGCCCTGCCCTGCAGCCCGCGCGCCGCCCTGCCCTGCTGCTCGTGCGCCGCCCTGCTCTGCAGCTCGCGCGTCGCCCTGCCCTGCAGCCCGCGCGCCACCCTTCCCTGCAGCCCGCGCGCCGCCTTGCCCTGCAGCCCGCGCGCCGCCCTGCCCTGCAGCCCGTGCGCTGCCCAGCCCTGCAGCCCGCGTGCCGTCCTGCAGCTCACGCGCCCTGCAGCCAGTGCGCCCTGCAGCTTAGGACGTGGCCGCTTTCTGCCCGTGGCGCGCCTCTACTGCTGTCCGTTTTCTACCCGTGGCGCGTCCCTAGAGTGCACCCCTCCAGTAGCCCATCGAGTGCCCTTAGCCCGCTTTCGTCCTACTCGCACCACCACTCCTACTGCTACTGCCACTGCCTGCCATGGCCACTACCACTGTCCTACGTCAGCGGCAGCCGAGTGTGAAGGAGTCTCTCTCGCCGCAGCAGCTTCGCGAGTGGGCTATATGGTGGGGCAGCGCTTGTGGCGGAGCTAGCCGGGCTAGAGCTAGAGGTGCTGGTGCTCGCGGTGCTCGTACTTGTCGGCAAGAGACGCTCTCGTTGGAGCAGCTTCGCGAGTGGGCTGTCCGGTGGGGCAGCCCCGGTGGCGGAGCCTGTGGTGCTACTACTGGAGGTACCTGTGAGTCTACTCTTACTGGTAGTGCCGTTGGTGGACGCGGAGGTTATGGGGGTGGACAGCAGCGTCCGCCGGAGACACTATCGCTGCAGCAACTTCGTGAGTGGGCTGTCCGGTGGGGCAGCCCCGGTGGCGGAGCTTGGGGTACTAGTGCTGGGGGTGGAGAGGCACCTGGTGGTGTAGAGGCTATTAGTCTAGGTGCTTGTGACTCAGCTAGCACAGGTGCAGAGTCTGAGGAGGCCTTGCACACTTTCCTACTTGACTCAAGCGCGTCTCGCTGCTTCTTCCGCGACTGCACCACAGTCACACCGCTCACAGCCCCTGTCCCTGTCACTCTGGCCGACCCCTCTGGTGGCCCAGTTGTTGCACGTAGCTCCACTGTTCTCCCGTGTCCCGCAGCCCCCTCCGGTTCCCTCACAGGTTTCCACCTCCCCTCGTTCGCTAGGAACTTGGTGGCTAAAGCTGTCCTACAGGACCAGTTTGTACGGACTCACGCACTGGCGAGCACCTCGCCACGTTCACTCGGAGGCCTGGGTCTGGTCTGTACACACTGACCACTGAGTCTGCACAGGTGGCTGAGTCAGGTCAGGTAGCTGTGTCGGTTGAGGTAGCTGCGTCTTGTTCGTGTCGTCTCTCCACGCACCAGACTCTCCTCTGGCACCACCGTCTTGGTCACCCCTCCTTGCCACGCCTGCGTGGCATGCACTCCCGTCTCCTTGTGTCTGGCCTCCCCAGGTCCTTGCCCCCGCTCCCGAGGTCGCTTGCGCCGCCGTGCTGGGGCAGCAGCGCGCCGCTCCTCACTCCTTCACGTTTCCTCCGACCACAGCTCCTCTGCAGACCCTCCACATGGACGTGTGGGGTCCAGCCCGCGTCACTGGACAGGGCGGAGAGCGCTATTTTTTGCTGGTTGTTGACGACTACACGCGCTACACCACGGTCTTCCCCTTGCAGAGCAAGGCGGATGTCCGTAGTGTGTTGATCCGCTGGATCCATGCTGTCCGTCGCCAGCTCAGCGCTCGGTTCCGGCAGGACCTCCCAGTCCTGCGGCTGCACTCTGACCGAGGTGGTGAGTTTTGCTCCCGCCTCCCCGAGGACTTCTGTGGTGCTGAGGGCATCCGCCAGTCGTTCACGCTTCCGGCCTCTCCGCAGCAGAATGGGATTGCAAAGCGTCGCATTGGCTTGGTCATGGAGGTTGCTCGCACCTCCATCATCCATGCGGCTGCTCCCCATTTTCTGTGGCCGTTTGCAGTCCGATACGCCGCTGAGCAGCTCAACCTCTGGCCCCGTGTCTCCCACGCGAAGACCTCCCCTACTCTGCGGTGGACGGGAGAGGTTGGTGATGCGTCGGTGTTTCGGGTCTGGGGTTCCCTTGCTCTTCCCAAGCTCTCTCCTCGCACTCTTTGCTGCGTCTTCCTTGGCTTCCCTACCGACGCCCCGCCCTAGCAGATTTACACCCGGGTTCTCGTCATGTCCTCTCCTCCCAGGACGTCACCTTTGACGAGTCTGTCTGCTTCTACCGTCTCCACCCCCACCGCAATTCCCCCGTGCCCCTCCCGCCTCTCTTCTTGGTACTCGACCCCCCCCCCCGGGTAGCCCCCCTCCCCCCACAGGGTCATGCTCCCTCAGGTGGGTCTCAGGTAGACCCACCCCCCTTGGTTGAGCCTTTGGAGGTCTCCTCTGACACCTCTGGCCCAGCTGAGGGGGGTGACCCGACTGCTGCCGACACTGTGGCCCCTCGCCGCTCAGTGCGCTTGGCGGCCCCTCCTGGGTTTCCGCCTCGGCCGTCTTCACTGCCTCTGCAGCCAGTCGCTGTGGACTGGTGCTGCTGGAGGTGGTGACACTGGGGGTGCGGACTCTGGGGGTGCTGGTTCTGGGGGTGCTGAGTGTCCTACGGGTACAGGAGGAGCTGGAGGTGCTGCAGTTGGAGGTGTTGTAGGTCTTGGGGCTGGTGGTACTGGAGTTGGAGGTGCTGGAGGTCCTGGTGCTGGAGACGCTAGTGCTGGTGGTACTGGTGCACGTCGGCAAGAGAATCTCTCGCCCGAGCGGCTTCGCGAGTGGGCTGTCCGGTGGGGCAGCCCTGGTGGTAGAGCTAGCCGTGCTAGAGATGGAGGTGCTAGAGCTGGAGGTGCTAGAGCTGGAGGTGCTGGAGGTACTGGGGCTGCTGGTGCTGGAGGTGCTGGAGCTGCTGGTGCTCGAGGTGCTAGTGCTGGGGGTACTGGAGCTGCTGGTGCTGGAGGTGCTGGAGCTGAAGGTACTGGAGGTTCTGGAGATGGTGGTACTGGAGGTACTGGAGGTGCTGGAGCTGGAGGTACTGGAGGTGCTGGAGATGCTGACGGTACGGGTACTGCGCCGCGCCGACCGTTTTTCTACCCGCAGCCATAGTCGTCCCTACCACCGCCCGACTCGGCACTTTGTCAGGATCTTATTCTTCCGTCTTCCACTGGCCTTACTCCGCCTCTCATGTGTCCTCCGCCTGACCAGTCATAGCCGCAGTTACTGCCTGGCTCTCCACTGCCTGCTCCTTCTCCCTACCCTGCATAGACATGCTCCCTTGCAGAGCGTCGTGAGCCTGAGTCTCGTCCTGCCTCCCCTGTTCGCACTGTCAGTTGTGCTCGTCGTTCTCGTCCTCCACCTGTCCCCGGCACGCACACTATGACACTTCGTCCTTCTTCTGTTCCACAGCGTGTTGCTCTGCCGTCTCCTCCAGCGTCCTCTCTTCCTGACGTTCCTGACCCTGAGTCCGACCGTGCTTGTGCTGCTAGTCCTACTGTCACTCGTCTCCTCGATACTGTTGTCACTGACCCTTCCTTTGAGTCTACTGCTGCGTTTGCCCTATTCACTGAGCTAGTCGACTTTGCTGCTACCCGCCGTCTCGACTACGTCGCGAGTCTTGTTACTGAATCTGAGTCTGTCTGTCCTCCGTCCGTAGGGGGTAAGCTTGCCCTTGGCTGTGACGTCCTTGAGGACAGGCAGTTTGAGCTCGAGTGTCTGGCGGCCGTTTTACTCCATTTCGCGTCCATGCTGCTTTGCCCTGAGGAAGACCCTGATGCACTGGACATCCCCACCCCGCGCTTTTACGCAGTGGCAGACAAGCATGGACGCAGATATGGCTTCCTGGAAATCCACAGGCACCTACGTCGAGGTTCCCCCTCCTGGGGCGAACATAGTCGATGTCATGTGGATTTTCAGAGTGAAGCGGCCGCGGGGTTCTCCGCCTGCTTTCAAGGCGCGTTACGTTTCTCGAGGCTTCAGTTAGCGATAGGGGGTCGACTTCTTCCAGACCTTCTCCCCCACCCCGAAGATGACCACTCTTCGGGTGTTACTGCACGTTGCAGCTCAGCGTGACTACGAGCTGCACTCCCTCGACTTCTCCACAGCTTTCTTGCAGGGCAGCCTTCACGAGGAGATCTGGCTGCGCCGCCCACCTGGCTTCACTGGGTCGTTTCCTGAGGGTACCCAGTGGAGTCTCCGGCGGCCAGTCTACGGTCTCTGCCAGGCGCCCCGCGAGTGGCATGACACACTGAGGACGACACTTGCGGCTCTTGGGTTTGCTCCTTCGACTGCTGACCCGTCGCTGTTTCTGCGCACCGACCCTAGTTTGCCGCCGTTCTACATCCTTGTGTATGTCGACGACTTGGTCTTTGCTACTGCCGACACTGAGGCGCTGACTCTTGTGAAGGCGGAGCTGCAGAAGAGGCACACATGCACTGACCTGGGTGAGCTGCATAGCTATCTTGGCTTGCAGATCACCCGGGACAGACCACGGCGCACCATCACTTTGACTCAGTCACACATGGTGCACCAGGTGCTTCAGCGCTTTGGCTTTCAGTTCTCCTCGCCACAGCGCACTCCTTTGCCTACAGGCCACTCGCTCTCAGCTCCACCTTCGGACGAGTCCGTAGAGCCGAGTGGCCCATATCCCGAGCTTGTGGGCTGCCTCATGTACCTGATGACGAGCACACGACCTGACCTCGCGTACCCTCTCAGCATCCTTGCGCGCTTCGTCGCGCTCGGGCGACACAGGAAGGAGCAATGGACAGCTGCGCATAGGGTACTGCGTTACTTGTGCAGTACATCGGGTATGGGGCTCGTGCTTGGAGGACGGGGTTTAGTGGTACTCACAGGACACTCCGACGCTTCTTGGGCCGACAACTAGGCGACTCAGCGGTCGTCACAGGGTTACTCTTTCAGTCTCGGCTCTGGTTCTATCTCGTGGAGGTCCACTCGTTCGTCTTATGTGCTTGGTTCCAGCTGTGAGGCCAAGATCTACGCTGGGGCCATGGCTGCACAGGAGTTACGCTGGCTGACCTACATGCCGACCGACTTGGGTGAGCGGCCTCGTTCTCCTCCAGTTCTTTACGTCGACAACAAGGCCATGCTTGAATGTGTCAGGAGCAGAGACTGGAGCACAGAACGAAGCACGTTGCTCTTCGTTACTTTCTTGCTCGGGAGCTGCAGCAGCGTGGTCAGCTGCGCCTTGGTTACGTGGCCTCTCGGGCCAACACTGCTGATGTCTTCACCAAGGCTCTTGTGCCTGGTGATCATCAGCGTTTCTGCACTACTTTAAGCCTTGTGCCTACTCTGCCTCACCTGCTGGTTGCTTGACTTGTCTTGTACTATGATATATATATTTTTATATATATATATATATACCTGCATGCTTGCTCTTGCTAGGTTGTGATCACTGTACTGCTTGTGCTTTTATAACTCTGCATGTAAACTGGCCTTGTGGCCGCTTGCTTGTGCTCAGAATGCGTGGTGATCTTGAGATCCACCCTGAGCTTTGCTTTGCTTTGTTTTCTTGCTTGACCGTTGGTTGTGTTTGCTATCCCCCACTGTGCCTATGGGGGTGTGTCAAACTATGTTTCTATGTTGTAGGTTGTTGTGGGGTAGCCTCTACTGAGTACAGCACTTTAGGGTTAGACCTTGCCCTACTTGTACTCATCCATCCTTTCTAGTCACTCATTATTGCCCGTTATTTCTGACACCCCCTTCCCCACAATGGCAGATCGGCAGGACAGGCAGGGCAGGTGACGGCAGTGGCGGCGGCGGCATGTGCTGCGGCGACAGGTGCGGCGGCTGCAACAGGCAGCAACACGGGCAGGAAGAGAAGCACAGGAACGACATGGGAAGCACGCGGGACATGGGAGTGGGTGAGAGGAGGAGGAGGCGGCTGATGCTGCAGCTGAACTCACACCACCCCCTCAACCTCCCCCCCACATTAGCAGCAGCGGAAGTGAGGAGAGGGAGGAGGAGGCGTGGCGGCAATTGCTTCAGTTGAGTCACCCACCATCCACACCTGGGCCTATGTTTGGATTTTGACTACTCATGATTAACAGTGTAGCATTTTTAGAAACCCTGATTATCAGCCTAAGTTTTGAGGTTACCCTTAATTATCAGTGTAACATCTGTTTTTGAAAATATTACCCAGAGTCAACAGTGTAAGATTTTTTTGAACCCTGATTGTACTACGACAGTATGTGCTGGCAGCAAACTACGACACGGGATTCCTATATTTTCCAGGCGATAGAAACAGTGACGTGGGTGGGCTGCAAGTAGACACGGAGGTGTGGGGACATGTCGGTTGGCGAGGGTGACCTCTGACCTGGCTGACGCACTCGATTCAAGTGCTGCTGGCGCTGTAGTGCATCATTACGAAGATATGTTATCGAGACGAAACTTCCGAGAAATTTCGTCTCGATAAGTCGAGAATCGAGATTCGGAAGAGAGTGGGGGGGGGGGGGGGGGAGGGGGGGGGGGGGGGGGGGGGGGCGTGATGTATGTTGTTCAGGGTAATACTCGCTAAAGGATAAAATGCACTACACCATTAGTGTGGCCGAACCCATTACCCTTACGAATCAGGGAAATTATATTCTCCATTTTTTTAACCCATAGGCATCAGTGTGACCCCTAAAATTCACCCATATAATCAGGGTATAAGGGTAACTTACACTGATAAATTAGGCCCTGATCCGTACCCCCTGAACCTCCCCCCCACTTCACACTCCCCCCCACAGCAGCAGGTGCGGCCGTGAGAGAGAGGAGGCAGGCTGGCGCTGTAGGTGCAACCACCCCCTCACCCTCCCCCCCCACACCAGCAGGCGCGACAGGGAGAGAGAGGAGGGCGGCGGCTGGTGGTGCAGGCGCACGCAACCCTACTGCCACTCCCCCGTCCCCCTCACACCCTCCCCCCCCCCCCCCCCCCAACTACTGCACGCGCAGCAGGGAGAGGGAGGAGAAGGGGGACGGGGTAGGAGCTGCGCGTGCGGCTGCAAGTGCGTGTGCAGCTGTGCGCGTGCGCAGCTGTGCGCGACTGCGCACGTGGGGCAGCAGCGCGCGGGGCAGCAGTGCGGAGGGCAGAGGCGCGCGGGGCAACGAGGTGCAGAGGGCAGCAGCGCGCAGGGCAGAGGCGCGCAGGGCAGCCGCGCGCAGGGCAGCGGCGCGCGCGGGGCAGCGGCGCGCAGGGCAACGAGGCGCGCGGGGCAGCAGCGCGCGGGGGGCAGCAGGGCAGCAGGGCGCGCGGGCAGCAGGGCGCGCGGGGCGCGGGGCAGCAGAGCGCGCGGGGCGCGGGGCAGCAGGGCGCGCGGGGCGCGCGGGCAGCAGGGCGTGCGGGGCGCGGGGCAGCAGGGCGCGCGGGGCGCACGGGGCAGCAGGGCGTGCGCGGCGCGAAGGGCAGCAGGGCGTGCGTGGCGCACATGGCAGCAGGACGCCCGCAACGCACGGGGCAGTGGGGCGCGCGTCAGAAGGGCGCGCACCGGGCAGAAAACCGACCCGCGCTACGTGTGCGCGATGGGCAGAATATGACGCGCGCTAGGGGCGCGTGACGGGCAGAGCGATGGAGTGCGCCATAGCGGAAGCTAACGGAGGGCCCATGGGGTAATTAAAAAGCAATAGGGCAGGATCTTAAGTGCTCTGAAACCATGTCAAAATCATAGCATAAGTAGGAGCTAGGGTTTTGGTAGGGCCTAGGCTTAGCAGCCTAGGCCGAGGGGGTATCAAGAGAGTTGTGCCAAGTAGAAGTGATTGCACAATGGAATGAGGGGTACAAATAGGCAATCAACAAGAACAACTAGGGGTGCACCACCAAACAGAATACATGATAAATGCACTACAAATAAACCACAAGCATTTATATAAAATACATGAAATATATTTCGACAATGCTGGCATCAGGGTTCGGGCTAGTCCCGAGGCGTAGGTCGACTCGGCTAGGCCAGCGATGCATGGTTTGGCAAAATGCAACGCGCGAAGGTTGGCGAAGCCCCCGTTAGCAGTAACGGGCAAACAACGGCTGGTCCTGTACGCGGTCTTGAAGCACGTGGTAAGGAATTTCAAAAAAATCCTTACAACAACTAAACACTCGCCAGTGCCGTGCCGTCGACCAGTCTCACGTCAATCTCAGGTAAACATCTGTCCAGTGTCAGTTTCAGTCTTCGTGCCGTGGCGGTCTTAATCAGGGTGTGGCTAGCCCCCCCGTCTACGAAGATTTTAACTTAGTCGGTGTGGATTTTCCCTCTAAGCAGTATGGGACTATCTACCGTTGAACCCTCCTTGTTCAGCCGGGTGTGATCGACTGCATGAATTGGCACTGTCACTCGGTGAGAGTCGGTTGGGTCGGGCGAGTGGCGTGACCTGTCAGTAGAGGGCCCATCTGCTACTGACTCCATGCGTTTCCCTGCTGCTTGGTCTGTTTCTGCTGCTCTGCTCCCTCCTTTCCCTTTGCGTTTTTTCGGGCATTCGCTCTTACGGTGCCCCGACCTGTTGCACGTGAAGCATCGCCCTTTGAACGGTGCGGCAGCGGCATTCGTGGTGACGGCGCATATTGTGGCGTGCTCGTTCGTCCCACGAGCTCGGTGTCTCCAGATGCTATTGTTGCCGTAGGACCCCGGTCTCGGTCGGCGAAGAAAATCAAGTTTTTCCGCCATGGCGAGAATCTCGTTCAATTCCGTGACGTTGCGGAGCAGGATTTCTTGTGCGATGTCGCTTTTCAGGTCGGCGACATAGCGGTTGATGCGTTCCGCTTCGTGCAGATATCCCACCTGCTCGCACAGCGCTAGAAACCCGCTGGTGTAGTCCTGGACGGAACCGAGCTGGCGCCAAGTGCGGAGCTTCTGTCGCGCAGCGATCGACGCCACGATTGGCTCGAATCTTGCGCGCAGACCTGCGCACCACGCGTCCTACGTGCGATACGGGTCAGCAGACGACGGAAAGAAGTCAAGCGCTGCAAGGGTCGAGCGAAATGTGTCGTGCCACTCACGTGGAGCCTGACGCAGGCCGTAGACTAGTCGACGCAGCTGCCACTGGGTCCCAGGTGGGAAAGAGCCAGTGAAGCCAGGCGGGTGACGCAGCCAGATCTGCTCGTGCAGGCTCCCCTGAAGGAACGCGGTGGAAAAGTCCAAGGAGTGCAACTCGTAGTTGCGCTTGGCTGCAATATGCAGCAACACCCGAAGAGTACTCATCTTCGGGGTGGGAGTGAAGGTCTGGAAGAAGTCCACCCCCTCTCGTTGACTGAAGCCTCTCGCCACATAGCGCGCCTTGAACACTGGTGGTGATCCAGGCGGCCGCTTCACCTTGTAGAGCCATCGGCCACTGACGACGTTCGTCCGAGGTGGTGGGACTGCGTCGACGTAAGTGCCTGTGGACCTATAAGATGCCATCTCTGCCTCCTCAGCTGCTATCCAGTACGAGGCCCAAGGCCCCGACACCGCCTCGGCGTGAGTGCGAAGGATCGGGATGTCAAGGGCGTCTGGATCCCCCTCAGGGGCAAGTAGCATGGCGCAGAGATGAGGAACAGCGGCCGCAAGGAAACCAAGCTCGAACTGCCTGTCCTCAAGGACCTCCAAGGGAAAGACAGGAGCACCCCCAGAGAACGGAGAACGAGCAGGGCCACTCACCAAGTGAGCGGTGTAGTCAAGGTGGTGGGAAGAGGCAAAGCCAGCGAGAGTGGTAACAAGAGCTGAGACAGACGACAGAGGTGCAGTCGGGTGAGTGACCAACGCGGACAAAACACGGGAGACGACAGGACAGGAGGTACGGAGGTAGTCGGACAACGGGTCGTGAAGCATAGTGAGGGACGACTCATGGGGCTGTGGAAGGACAGGAGGAAGTGGAACACGAGAGCGAAGAACAAGGTGGAATGGACCGTCTGCACGATAACGGGACCGACGACGCTCTGGGGATACAGCACGACTGAGGGGAGGACGACGAGTCCACTGGGACGAGGAAAGGGACTCAACAGGGGGAACAGGAGGGGACGGTAGGGGACCATGAACAAAGCGTGCAGTTGCTGGGTCGGGGAGGTTGCGGAGTCGCAGTCGCTGCTGCTCCGCCTCCTCTGGCGTCTGCTGCGACGGTACCGGCCCCTGCTGCTGCTCCTGTGGCTCCGCCTCTGCCCTCTCCAGCTGCGACTGCAGCTGCACCCGCTGCTGAGACCGGGACTCCTGCGCTACCCTCTCCTGCTGCGGCCGTGACTCCTCCTCTACTCTCTCATGCTGGGTCTGTAACTGCACCTGCTGTTGCGGGTGGGACTCCTGCTCTACCCTCTCCTGGTGCGGCCGTAACTCCTCCTCTACTCTCTCCTGCTGTGTCTGTTACTGCACCTGCTGCTGCGGGCGGGACTCCTGCTCCACCCTCTCCTGGTGCGGCCGTGACTCCTAGCACCCACACATAGCGGGTTTTGCGGTCCTTCAGCAGCAGGAAGTAGACACTGCCGTCCTTGGGAGCCACCCGGTAGGGACCACACAGATCGATGTGCACGACGGCCAAGGCCTCCTCTGCGTCTGAGCCCTTGTCCGGGATGGTGTGCCGCGCAAGTTTCCCACCGATGCAGGAGACACACAGAAAATCAACCCCAGTCGACAATTTGATGTCTAGGCCGGTGGCGACTTCGTGCTTCGCCGAGTTCTTAATCGTGTCGACGCCGACATGTGCGAGCCTCGCGAGCCACATGGCCGGCGTCGACTTCGTCATGGAAGCGATCGTCCGCAGAGCCACCACCTCGGTTGACGGCGACTTCGTCGAGCAAGGGCAAAGGTTGGTGCAGAGGACCCGGCCGGTGTAGCGCTCGACCAAGAACCTCTCCCATTGCCGACACAAGCAGCATCACGTCGCCGTCGTCCCGCAACTTCACCCCGCTGTCCTTCAGCTGGCCAGCCGAGCAGCAGGTTCGCCTGCACGCCCGTAACGTAAGCGCCCGGCCTCCCATTGCCGAACAACGGAGCCGTGGCCCTCGATTGTCTTAAGCGCCCCATTGTTGCTGCTCGGCTCCATGTCGACGAATGCCTCCTTCGTCCCCATCAGGTGGTGCGAGCAGCCATTGTCGGGTTTGCCTACACGGCAGCCGCGACTGCCTTGAAGACATCGCCGACCTCAGGCGCCAGTGAAACGGTCGACTCCATTACGCCGACCATCGAGCACGACGCCTCCCCGTTGCCTCAACCCTTGCTGCTGGAGGAGTCAACGTCCTTCGTCGACGACGTCTTCTTCAACGCATGTTTCTCCCTGCGTGGCTTCTCATCCAGACTTCGACGACCATTGGCCGAACTCTCGCAGCCTCCCTTGCGGTCGTCGTCATCGGAGTCGTCGCGGTCGGGACACTCGAAGGAGAGGTGGTCGGGGTTGCCGCAGACCCAGCACTCCCGCCGTCGAACACCACCGGTGCGACCGCTGTCCCGAGCCGACTTCGTCTGGTCGGCGTCCTTTGCCGACCTCCCAGCTCTGCTACCGCCTCTGCTCGGCTTCCCGCGCTGACCCTGTTGACGACTCTGCTAAGTCGGGGCGGCGTAGCTCGCATGCGGAAGGAGCTCCGTGGGCCGTTCTGCCTCCTGCATTGCTTCATCCGTAATGATGTGGCAAGTGAGGGTGTCCTCATTGAGCGACTCACGTACGCCGGGAATCGCCATTATCCGGCGCATCAGGTTGTAGCCGCTTGGGAGGCCCTTGACGACGTGCGTGATGTAGGATGCCGTCGAGTAGTCGACGCCTGCCATCCGCATGTCGGCCAGGATCCATCGAGCACGATTGCAGTAGTCCGTCGCCGACTCCTTCTCGCCCATCCTGAGGTGAGTCAAGCGCTCTTCCAGCTGGTCGAGGTATAGGTCGTCGGTCGCCTGATACGTTGACATGATGAACCGCCACGCCTGGTGGCCGGCGTCCAGTCAAAGTCGACATGTCTTCAGAGCAATCTGCACCATCGGCGAGCAGCAACACGAGATGACCATACAAGTTAGCAGGTGAGCCGCGCGGAATTCCGCCCGCAGATCGACGTCGTCCTCGTCCGGTGTCGGCACGTCGCCGTCGGCGAAACCTTTCAGCCCGGCGATCTCCAGCTGGGGTTGGATGGACTCCCTCCAGGTGATAAGGTCACGTCAACCTTCCAGCAGCGCGGGCACGGCAATCTTGTGATGCGAAATTTTGAAGTAGCTGTACGCCAATATTGCCTGCCGTCACGTGGGTTGTCGACGTCGGCCTCACACTGCTTCTCTGAGGAGAGCGGCGTCGATGGTCAACGTCGCTGTGCGAGCTGCCTGCGGCTCCAGTCGACCGCAACCCTAGCGCCCGCATTCTGCCGACTTCGACGTCGGCTTCCCTGATCACCCCTCTCGTCATCCTCGTGCCGTCGTCGCTGCCGACTTGGTCACTGCCGTTGACCTGCTCGTCGACGCCACCTTCGTTACGTGCCGGTCAAGGAGAGGCGAACACTTTGTCTGCTTCAGTACGTGGAGTCGGATGCCCGCGCGCCCACTGAAGACGAGTTCTCAAGAGGAGCACCTCCAAAGGGACCGTCCCGTACTCGCCAGCCGTGTGGCGTCTCCTAGCATCAGCT